GTATTACAACAAAATAACTGTTCTGATTTAACGTATACCAAAGGTTAGATAAACAAATATATGGATTTTTTTTTTCTTGCAAGTTGACAATCATCAGAGAAACAGAACAAAAAAAAAAAACAAATAGATAATTAGAATGTAAAAGTTCGTGACTAACCATCAACTCAAACTTTGCCATCGCTAAATGATTAGAAGCCACTAAGCGTCTTAATTTTAGACTGTCCGCTCTCCTCAAAGACTCTTTCAGAAGAATGTACACCCTTTGTTGTACAGATAATGAAGACGCAGTGCTAGTGACGGGTGAGTAAGAGGATCCAAGAACATTAGTGGTACTTGCAATGCCCATTTCTGATAACAAGTTGCTCATTGCTGCTAGCGTATAGGCTAGACATGTATCATTGCTAATCTGCAGTATCAACAAACGTTTTAAATACCACAAATGAACTTAAACTTAAGCTACAGTATCTTTAAACAATATAAGCTTTTAATGTTGATCATGTGATTGAATAATCGACCCAGGTGATAGCAATGTGATCCTTCTAGCATGTACAGAATACAACAAATTTCATATCTGCTAAGACTGCACTGCCCCACTGGACAACTTAGAAATCAGTACGTAAATATGGGAGTATATTAAGAGTCAGTGCAATAAATTTGGAAATCTAAACATAAATGTTGTTAAGAGTCCTAAATCGCTTACAGAAGTTAATGTATACGAATAGTTAAAAATAGCGCAATATTCAGCTTATAGTAACTTTGATAAAATACACGGCCTGCAGGAATTTATCAAACGCACCACTTTCTTCAAAATATAATATAAACAGAGCTAACAACTGATGAATAAACTAAAATATACCTGTTGCGATACACGCACAGCTTCAGTCAAAACCTGCCATTAAGGAGAACCATATTATGAGCAATGTGAACAATAATAAGGACCAATATTACGCCTAGTAATATCACCTATAAATATGAAGTTGAGATAGCAAGTCCAATAGTTGCTAAATTCATAGTAACGTTGTTAAGGTTAGTGTTGCATCTTTATTTACCCAAACCGAGCTCACAAGTGTTTAGACGAATATACTATAATAAGACACCATAAAATAGAGAAGCTTAAAGTAAAAACTTGCAAAAGCCTGCCCCCACAACCAACACATCACTGCTTGTATGAGAAAATTTTTAAATTAAAATTTTGAAATTCAATTTCAAACTTTCTAAAGTAAAATTAGTATATACATAGAAGTATGATCCATGTAGCTCATTTGATTTTAAGTAATCTATCAAAATGAAGGTGTGAGGTTAACACATTCAGGATACATCACAAATGGCATCAGTTATTATTAGCCTCACCAACAGCCCAGTAAACTATACAATGTACAACTTGGTCCATATAGGCAGATTTAAATATTAGAACAATTCTTTAGCAATGGAAGCTATAAAGAGAAATTAATCCTCACCTCTAGAGCCAGATTAGGATGGCCAAAGCGGAAATGCATCATTCCCAAACATAACAAAGCAACCTCGTATCTTCCATTCATGCTACAACCAGTTGAAGGCGGAACAAGGTCAAATCCCTCAGTCCCTGCACTTTTAGACAATGGAACATGGATCAGCTCATATATGGAAAACAGTTCTTAGTGCCACATATCTAACAGGCAAAACACAACTGGATATTTACAGGAGTCACACGCAAGCGATAAAAGCCTCCATCATAATATTATTATTATCATAAATTTATATGAAGCAGCGGAAAAGAGCTAAGAGTACTGATTACCTGTAATCAAAGTAACGAAGGAGATTTTCCAAAGCAGCAAAATAGTCATCGCTGTGAAGTTTATTCAAGTAACGCAAAAAGTGAACCTGCATCATTGCAATGTTGTCAATAACATGCAAGGATATCAAAGAAAAAATAACTTCTGAATCCACTGCAAAGGAAAATATTAAAAAAGTAAGACATTACACGATGTAACTCAGGGGCTAGATTCTGAAGTTTCTGAAGGAAACTTTCAATCGAACTTGAAGACAATGAACTTCCATGGCTGACATCATATTATAAGGAAATGAAAGTCAGAAATATTAGCAATACTTTTGACAGAAATATATCAAATACTAATGAAATCGAGACTTTACGTTTCAATTGCATTAGCCTGCTCCATTAAAAAGCCTTGTATCTGATAATTTGTCCGAAGGAATAATGACTCATCAACCAGAGTATCATCAACTGTACTTGAGGAGGAACAAGCAAGTGGAGTAGCCTCTGTTTTCTTCGTGTTGCCTCTTGATTTTTCCTTCCTAGTAACTAGCAAACCTGCATGTTTCATTTGTTCTGCTCATTACATACGAATGAAATCCTCCAAAAATTATTTTTAATTGTTTCTACTTTACGGAAGGGATATATCTTCAGAAGACCAATTTTAATCTTTAATGAAAATCTATAAGGTATCATACAAGCACTCCACAAATCAACCGAGAATAATATGATACATGTTAAACTTTGATCCTACCATTGAGGGTAATGCATCAGCAAAAACATCTTAACAAAAGGATACGCGGAAAACGACATTTAAATTACAGCCAAACTATATTTCCTCAATATTTTCAAGCATCTGAGATTCTGAGAAACTTTAAATTTACTTTTGAGCACAAATGAGTGAATCGTGAGGGATACCTTCTGTCACTTTGAATAGTGCTTTCGGCGTATGAAGATGAAAAGGAACACTTCCACTAGCATTTTTATGTAGCTCTATTTCTTCGGTTGCTTTATCCATTATATATTTCTCCATATCCATCTGATCATGTTGTATTAATGACTCCAGGTTATCATTAGATGCATCATACTGAGCAGAGCTTGAATGGCAGTAGACTTCAAGGCTTGAAAAGAGATGACAAACTCCCTGCACAGGATTCAAAAATAAATGAATGGACGGTTCTTACAGACATTTACTTTGAGTTTCAGTAGCCTAAAGACAGTAGAAGGAAAGAAAAGGAAGAGACATCAGGAGTTTTGGTTATATTAACTCAGAACAATACAGTAGAGTTTTACACATTTCAACCAGGTCTGTCAAGAGTTCAGCCATTCGATCACATAGATTTAATCGCCGATAATTGGGTACACTTGTTAAATCTAGCCTAGACAAGTACTTATAAATTTCTAATTCTTCCTTTACAATAAAGTAAATTCAACATTAAAGTCAAATCCGAGTTATACACCCAAAACCCTCAAAACTAAATACCAAACACTTCCTTTAGAATCTTAAGTTGAATAGAAGAACTATCACTTAGTCTGAAAAATCAAACAAGAATAATAAAAACGTTAAAAAAAAGCTTCAATACCTCGAAAGATAGAAGGTTAAACGCCAAAATGCAACGACGAACGAACATTCCTAAGTTACTGCTAGGATCCAAAATAATCTGATCATCTTGCACAGCTCCTGAATCAAGGCTCCCAAGTATCCCTACATACAAACCAAATGATAACTAATAAGACTCAAAAACATAACGAAAACGGAACTTTAAAAGAAACGAGTAAGCTAAACCTCGCATGTCAGTAAAGAAATTCAATAGGTCATCTGGTGAAGTCAGAGAGGAAAATCTATTAGTCAAATGGTCAATAAGCCACGCGTCCATGTCTTCCCCAACTTCTCTCAATTGGTTGACGAGATCTTCCAGCTTCGGCTCAAATATATCATCACAAGACTGTAACATAATCAATAAGTTAATTAATCAGTAAATCTAATCAACTATGAGCCTCGTTAGAACTAGACATTTTGAAATAAACTCGATTGAGATAACGAAGAGTGGAACCTTAGTGAGAGAGAGCAAGTAGAGGCCGAGGCGGTTGTGCTGAGAGACGGAAGCGAAAGGGAAGGGAAGAGACATCTGAGCAGAGGGCGCGTATAGCTGGAGGAGAATGCAAACGGAGATCTTGTGTGGAGTCACCGAATAAGCGCCGGCTGTTCTCGTTAATCCGGCCATCTCTCTCTCCCTCTCTCTGTCGCCGCTAATAAAATAGTCACTCTCTAGCTCTCGATATCTTTCGCCGGTTATTTCCTCCGATAAACAGACGGGAGGATTAGGTCACTTGAGGGATTTATTTATTTTTGAAATATTTAGATTCGAGGAGTCACCGGGAAAGTGAGCACTGGTTTGAAAATCTCACCCCTTAAACTAGTCATGGGTATTTTATCCGAAACCCAAGAACGGAACCAGAAAAACCGACACCAAAATCGGACCGAAAATTACAAAAACCAGAACGGTTCTTATTTCTCTAAATCTGAAAAACGAAATCGAAACCGAACTGAGACCAAACCGAGAACCGAACGGGTACCTGAATATTGTAAATATAATAAAAATATTAATTATTTTTAGTTTTAATATATATAAGATGTAAAATTTAAATAAAAATATCCAAATACCTGAATTATCCGAATATTTTTCGGGTTAAATCGGTTTTTTGGTTCTTTTTTTTGTTTTTGGCTTTAAACCCGAACCAAACCCGAACTATTTCTAATTCGGTTCCACTTTGGGTTTTATAAAAAAATAGAAACCCGAACCGAACCGATTCGATCTGAAAAATTCCCGATTCCTACACAACCCCACCCGAATAACCCAAAAACTAAATAATCCGAACCGACCCGAACCGAAAACCCGAATGCCCAGCACTACCTTAAACATTTGAGAACCGGTTCCGGTTAAGAGTATCAATGAAATATATAGGATTAATTATTAAACATTGGCAATGGGGATGTAGCTCAGATGGTAGAGCGCTCGCTTAGCATGCGAGAGGCACGGGGATCGATACCCCGCATCTCCATCTGTTTTTACCTTTTTATATTATGATTGTCTGTCTTCCACTATTTAGCAGCCTCATTTATATTATTTTTTTCTGTTTTCGCCCACGTGAAACACGTTTTAAAATCTAAGATGGTCGTTGACTCGGAACATTTCACGAGTTTAATAGGACATGACTGTAGTTAACCTCTCTGCAAACCTTTTCTTGCATAAACGAAAAAAAAACAATGGAGTCAACGGCCACTGTTGCATTAGATCGATCAACTCAGCTAAAAGCTTTCGACGAGACCAAGACCGGAGTCAAAGGCCTTGTCGAAGCCGGAATCTCAGAGATTCCCGCCATCTTCCGTGCACATCCAGCTACTATAACAACCCCAAAACCACCTTCATCATCGCAGTTCACCATCCCAACAATCGATCTCCAAGGAGGCATAGACTCGCGGAGAAACTTGGTGGAGAAGATCGGAGACGCGGCTGAGAGATGGGGCTTCTTTCAGGTGATCAATCATGGTATCTCGCTAGATGTGTTGGAGAGGATGAAAGAAGGAGTTCGTGAGTTTCATGAGCAAGATCCAGAAGTGAGGAAGAGGTTCTACTCTCGAGATCCAAGTAGTAAGATGGTTTACAGTAGCAACTTTGATCTTTATAGCTCACCGGCTGCGAACTGGAGAGATACGCTAGGTTGCTATACGGCTCCAGATCCTCCTAGACCAGAGGACTTGCCAGCCGCTTGTGGGTATGGTTTTAAACCTGTAACAAAACTTTATTATAATCAAATATATACATAATAAAATAGTGGATGAGAACATATGTTGACTTAATATAGTTTTCACAGTAGGAAGGAGATTAAAACCATACTAAGCATGCGAATCTCTGTCTTTATTACAAGAACTCACGCAAATAAATAAAACGTGTCTTTAATGTTTTTGTTTTTTTTTTGTTTTGTTAGGGAGGTGATGATTGAATACTCAAAGGAAGTGATGAAAGTGGGTAAAATGCTCTTTGAACTTCTCTCAGAAGCTCTAGGGTTAAACACTAATCACCTCAAGGACATGGACTGCACCAATTCAATGCTGCTACTCGGCCATTATTACCCTCCCTGTCCTCAACCAGACCTTACTTTAGGATTAACCAAACACTCAGACAACTCTTTTCTAACGGTTCTTCTTCAAGACCATATCGGAGGGCTACAAGTTCTCCATGATCAATATTGGGTTGATGTTCCTCATGTCCCTGGAGCTCTTGTCGTCAACGTTGGAGACCTTCTCCAGGTTAACTTAGTAACTAACCCACCCTTTTGTAGCTTGATCAATATGTTTTAATATTATTGGGGAATTTGTGCAGCTTATTACAAACGGCAAGTTCATAAGCGTGGAGCATCGTGTTTTGGCTAATGGAACTGGTACTGAACCGCGTATCTCAGTGGCGTGCTTCTTCAGTTCGTATTTGATGGCGAATCCTAGAGTTTATGGACCTATCAAAGAGCTTTTGTCTGAACAAAACCCTCCTATATATAGAGACACCACCATTACAGAGTATTCAAAGTTCTACAGATCCAAAGGATTCGATGGTACCTCTGGATTACTATACCTCAAGATCTAAAGAATGCACGTTCATGTTTATTTAATAAAGATGTGTACCCTGTAATAACTTCTTGTGTAATAAGACTGTGTTATAGACAGTGGGCCATAAATTATCACATACCGTTCATTTTCTATCAAACTTGTAACACTATTATCTATGGACAGTGATTTTTCTACTGCGAATTGTCAAATGTCTATCAATGATATCTATAAGCAATGGTTTTGCTGTAAATCCAAGAAAATAAAATTAGTGTTTCTTTTATATCAGATTGTTCTGTTTTTTTTTTTTTTTTTTACACAGAGAACACTATGGAGACGACCAAGGTTGCTTCATTCAATCGTGTCAACGAGCTTAAAGCTTTCGACGAGACAAAGACAGGTGTGAAAGGACTCGTAGACGCTGGAATAACACAGCTTCCACGCATCTTCCACGACTCACCTTCCAACTTAGCAAACCCCAAACCACTTTCCTCTGACTTGCTACATCTCACAACGATACCAACGATAGATCTCGGAGGAAGAGTCTTTGAGGACGAGACTAAGCGCAATAATACCATTGATGGAGTTAAAGAAGCAGCAGAGAAGTGGGGTTTCTTCCAGGTGGTCAACCATGGAGTTTCACTCGATCTTCTTGAGAGGATGAAAGATGGAGTTCGTGGGTTTAACGAGCAAGCCCCTGAAGCGAAGAAACAATTCTATAGCCGAGATTTCAATAAAGAGTTTGTGTATACAAGTAACTTCGATCTCTACACTTCATCAGCTGCAAGTTGGAGAGACACTTTCTCTTGTTACATGGCTCCAAATCCTCCAAAACCACAGGATCTGCCAGAGATTTGTAGGTACATTGCTTCTTTTACTTTCAACCTGATGATGATGATTTGATAGTGTAATCTCTCTATGTTCATATGGTGAGAACTGTTTCAGGGATGTTATGTTGGAATACTCAAAGGAAGTTATAAGTTTGGGAGAGTTTCTGTTTGAGCTTTTATCAGAAGCATTAGGGTTGAACCCTAATCACCTCAATGAGATCGAGTGCTCCAAGGGCTTGCGTATGCTTTGCCATTACTACCCACCATGTCCAGAGCCTGACCTAACATTAGGCGCAAGTAAGCACAGCGACAGCTCTTTTATTACCGTCCTCCTTCCGGATCAGATAGAAGGGCTTCAAGTTCTCCGTGAAGGGTACTGGTTCGATGTTCCTTCTGTTCCTGGTGCACTGATCATCAACGTTGGAGACCTTCTGCAGGTAAGTTCTTGTTCACAATCAATGCCTTTTGCTCAGAATCTTCCTATTGGTTGAAAGTTTTTTTCTTTTCTTGCGGGTGGTTTGATGCATGCAGCTTATAACAAACGACAAGTTCATCAGTTTGGAACATAGAGTCTTGGCAAACAGAGCCACAGGAGCTCGAGTTTCGGTCGCATGTTTCTTCACAACCGGCATTAGACCGAACCCTAGAATTTACGGACCCATTAGAGAGCTTGTGTCTGAAGATAACCCTCCAAAGTACAGAGAGATCACCGTTAAGGAGTTCGCTGCTCACCGTAGTGCCAAAGGACTTGACGGAACGTCTGATTTGCTCCACTTTAGAATATGAACATGGTGAGTTACTTGCTTTCTCACACAGTCAACATGGAAATATATGTAATCGAATCCAGGTTTGCATATAAAAAATATCAAAAAAGTGCCTGAGGATGAGAATTCCTAAGAGGTTCATAACCAATGTTTATAATTTTTTACTCTAAAAATCTTATGAAGTTCAATAAAAGCCTGAAATAAGACTATCTTCATTGCTCATGAATCACGACAGCCTTATGTATGTAACACTGTTCTGTACGAGGGCCAAGTTACAGAAGGAAACTACCGAGCTGGTTGCTGCTCCAACTGCGATATGTCCGAGTCTTCTTCATCCTCCATCACTTCAAGTTTCCTGCATCACACACATTTATAAGTCGCTTTTATCGCTTCTCTTAGGTAATGTTCGTAAATATAGTCGAGATTTAAGTAGTACCTTCGAGGGAATAAACTCTGACCACCTTCTTCCGAGAGTACTTTCTCCAGTCTCACTTCAAACGGTGTTGCATGCCAACTCACTTTCTGATCCTGCGTAAGGTAAGAATGTAACAACTCATTGTGTATAGTTTCTAAATAGTAAAAAAAGCACAGAAAGAAGAAGACTGAACACGAGTAATGATACCTCCTTGTATTTGGTTGTCGTATTTGGGATTCCATTCCCATCCCACCATTTGGGTGAAATCTCATTTTTCTCATCCTCATTCCAGTGAGCAGCAACCAATCCAATGATAGGCCTCTCACCTGGCGTTATGGCATTGACTCCAGGTGTCCTTTCATTACAGTCTTTGTCGATCGGGTTTAGCCAAGGAGAAAAGCTTGCCTCAAACTTGGACAGTTTCTCATATGAGTTTGCTTCTACCTTTTCCCCTTGAGTTGCCGAAGTGGGAGTTTCACCATCTATCTGCTCTTTGTAGCCCTGCCATTTAGCTTGTTCTAGGCTCTCATGTAAACCAGCGCGGGCCTTATATATGGGTGCATTCTCTATCAGATTGGAGACTGAATGCACAAATTGTGACCTGATTCTTGGCCTTCCCTTTCCTGCTGATTCCATGTTCGCTGGATATATGGTTCCGGGAGTCTGCATCTCATCAGATAGCTTCAATGGAGTTGGATTAGGCGAGCTCAATGTAAAACTAATCTTGCCACCACCCATCTGGGGTTTTCTTGAACTGCTATTCTCGGAAGAATTAGAAGATTGAGATTGTTCAAGATCACATTCAAACCGCACCGATTTTGTCTTTCCAGCTGTGAGCATTGGCCTGGCAGATCTATCCAAGTCACCCTTGACTGCAGTGCCCATGCTTCCTACTTCATCAGCATCCTTAAAAGCAGACGTGATCCTTGCATTGTCCCGGACATGTGTTGAACCTCTTAAACAAGATGTAAGAGTGATGTTAGCATAGAAACCACGCCACTTATAAAGAGGTCTATTAAGCAGAGCGCATGAAGGCAAAATTGCCTGTTTTAGCCAACAAAGATAACCTCTAGTGCTCTTACCTGCTTGGTGTTTGCTCTGAAGTAAATGATGGTCTTTCCACCTCTTCACAAGCTTTCATGGGGGTTGGGGATTCATCCACATGAAACCCGAGCGCAGAGCTACTAGAAATCCATGAGTGGAAATGGGAAGATCCAGAATGTTGAGTAGGACTTCTCAGTTTAAGTGACGCTTTCCTAATTTCAATAGGCGTCTCCGGTATAGTACCACAAGCTTTAAGAAACCGCGCCTAGAAATCCACAAATAAAATTAGATGGTTAGATTCTAGGGATATACGCAGAGAAAAGAGACCCTGAAACTACAGAAGAGCTACAACAACATAAAATCCCTGCATTCTCGTCAGAAAATCAACTAATCGCAAGCACTAATGCAAGAAAACATAAAGAACCTATAACTCATTCATCATACAAACAAAGCTAAAGACGTCACAAATCAAATCTTTCTTCGTCAAGGCAAGGAGAGCTGTGGTAATCATAAGACTCGCAAGAACGGCACAGCTAAAAGAAGTACATAATCACATGATTAGAGGCAAGGCAATATAACCAATCATACCTCATCCTTTAGGCCTTTGTCAATACGTATAGAATCCAAATCAAATCTTTCTTTGTCAAGGCAAGGAGAAGAAGCTTCTTTCTCTATAAAATCAAGAACAAGTACTCTTCTATTAGCAAAATTTGCATACGAAAACAAACACAGCAAACAGATCTTTACCTCCAGACCGAAACAACGCCGATAAATGATGACTCTGCGAGTTTTCACCTTTCTGAAAATTAAAATGAAAGAAACGATGTTAGTAAATTGAAATTCAAAGCAAAGAAACAAGGATGTATCTAGAAGCATCTATTTCATCTACGATCACTCTTCCAGCTAGAATAACACCCTAAACGGACTCCGATCATGCAAAGAAAAGATGCGAAAAAAGCGAGAGAGGATTACTTTGGAATTGGCGAGTGAAGAGTCTTTGCCGCGGAAGCAGTAGAGAAAACAGGCCATGACTCTGTGAGCAGATATCTTGACAAATCTGAGCACGGATCTGCACAAGAGACTCAAGTTTCGCTTCATCAACAGCCACAAGAGACTTAGGTTTCGCTTAATCAACAGCCTTCTCATATCATTTGATTTCTACCAAAGTTGGCGAGAATCAGAGAGCTAGCAAGAAACCTACAAAGGCTTTTGCAATTTATATGAGTTGATGATTGTCCCGAGAAACACGCAGAAAATGTGAGAGAGTGATGAGAGCCGTTTCTTTATAGGATTTGAAAATCAAACGCTGCGAGGGAACTAATCAGGTGCGCTTGGGTCTTTCCTGATCACAAAATAAAAAAAACGTATCGAGCAGACGCGTGTAGAAGATTAATTACCAGATTTGACTCTGCCACGTGTCATACTGGATACTGGACTCAGCGCATTTCCGTTATGGGCCTTTCAGCACATATGGGTTAAAAGGCCCAGTAAGAAGCCTTTTTTCTTCTTTTCTTAAAAGAATAAATTAATTAATTTAATGACAAACCAGAAAATAGGGTTTAAGGAAGGAGGCGGAGGAGCAGAACGGAAAAACTCAATCAAAGAGCAACTCTCTGAAGCTCACAAGGCCGTACAGTCTCTCCTCTGCTCACTAGTTTCGACCTAATAATCGATGGGGAGGAAGATGAATAGAAATCAAAACACAGAATCCGCGAAATCCTCTCGGATTTGGGCCTCCAAGTTCCTCCAGGAGTTTCGCGCCTCCGGGAAAGATTGTGAGTTACCTCCTCACACTCCTTTTTCTTTGATTCTGAGTCTAAGCTGAAATTCAGGAATGTTCTATTCGTTAGATTGATTGATTGATTGTGAATGCTCTCTACTTGCAATGGAATGTTCTGTTCGTGAGATTGATTGATTGATTGTGATTGTGTTTGCTTTTTAACTTTGTGTAGCTCACACATTTGATAATAGTCTTACGAGAGGAGACCGTGGCATTATCCATCAGATGTGTCCAAAGATGGGTCTCAAATCAAAAAGTTCCGGGTCAGTCACATCAGTTTTTGATTAGTACTACTTGAGAAAAAGAGAGAGAGAGAGAGAGCTTAGTTTCTGATTCTTCTTTTGATTATGTCTAGGAAAGGGGATCAAAGGTGTCTTACGATTTCCAAACGTGGACCTTGCTCTTCAGTGAGTAGAAATAAAACAACAAATGGCAATGGAGATGCCAGTGAGAAGAAGAAGAAGCTTAAGTGTGTCACGTTTCCAACGGAGGCGAAACCTGTTCTTCAGGAGTTATTTACTCGTTACCCGCCTTGTGATGGGGATACTATAGGGACGTCGCTAGGCATATATACTGGACACTCTGGGAAGCAACGGAAGTGGAAAGATGACTATTTTGGAAGACCTCGGTTGAGTAAAGAAGAGATTCTAGATAAGCTGGCATCTTTGAGTTCTAGATTGGCTAACGATAAAGGTTTCCGGGAGGTTAGGAGTTTGTGTTTTTTTCTTTCTAATTATTTGTAATATCTACTTCCATATACATAATCTAGTTAGCATGTTTAAATGATATATTTTTTGTATTTGAATGATGTTACAGATCTTTGGAGCACGAACAAAGCTTCCAATCGCATCTTTTAGAGATGCCATCACTTCCGCAGTGGAATCTAATCAGGTTATATGGGGTTTTAGTGTTTTATGTTTTCTATTCTATTATATATCAGAGAATGGGTGTGAATAGTTGTGCTTTCAGTGGGGGATTCCCGCTGCTTTTGAAGGAGTATTTATTTATTTTATTTAAATGCAGGTTGTTCTTATTGCCGGTGAAACTGGTTGTGGGAAAACTACTCAGGTGCGTCTTTCATCTTGCTGTTTGTTTTCGCGGAGCCAAATATTATATGCTTGTAAAAATAATTGAGATTATGTTTTGTGGTAAATGAGTTTATGCTCTATGCATGAACATGGTATTACCATATGGATTTTACTATTTACAAAGCGTTTTCTGATTAGAAGTTTCTCATGTGCCTCACTTGTTGATATTTTAGGTGCCTCAATATCTTCTAGATCATATGTGGTATAGTAAGCGAGAGTCTTGCAAAATCGTTTGCACCCAACCACGTCGTATCTCAGCTATTTCAGGTTAGTATTTACCTGTTTCAAACTCCTGTGAAGGTTTTAGCTTTGTAATTCGAATGCATGCCGTGCAAGCTGCTAACTCTTAGTTTAATGCCTTCTTTTACTATTTTGAAGTTTCTGAACGAATTTCGTGGGAAAGAGGTGAAACTATAGGTAACAACATAGGCTACAAGGTAAGGGGGCATATTCTTTAACATAAATTTTTGCAAACGATAAACATATGTTAATGGCTGCTGGAAAAAATCCTATCTCATTATAGCATTGACTTTATTATGGATGTCTAGGTGCGGCTGCAAAGCAAAGGTGGAAAACAGTCATCAGTCGTTTTCTGCACTAATGGCGTTCTGTTGAGGGTGCTTGTAGGCAAAGGCGGTGGTAGTTGTGTTCCTGATATAACTCACATTATTGTGGTAACACATTCTTGTTTGATTCATGATTTGTTTTTCATGTGTTTATTATGTCTGATTTTTCTGCTTCCGCTGGTATGAGTAAAATTTGAATGAATAAATTCAACAAGAAATTGTCACAGTCGCTTTTGTCTGCCTTCTTGTTTTTGTTTATCATCTTTGTGTAAATTGATTTTGTAGCTGTCTAAATTGATTTCATCCTTGTTACTATGTAGGATGAAATTCATGAAAGGGATTGCTACTCTGATTTCATGTTGGCTATTATAAGGTACACTCTCTAGCCTTCTTGAACACTGAAGTGCTCAGCTTGTCAAAATCAAAAGCAAACCAAAAATCAAAACTGATAAATAGAAAATAACTGATCATATTGCTATTGTTCAGTTGGTGTTACACTATACTTTTAGATGCCAATGCTACACTTCTATTCTATATGATTCTTTAATTGAAGCGACACCATAAAAAAAGAGAACTATGAGGGGCTGTTTTTTTTTTCTTTGGGTGAAAGCAAACTCAGATCAATTTGTGATGGTTTTGTTTGTTTGCAGGGACTTCCTTCCCTCAAATCCTCATCTCCGACTGGTTAGTTAAAAGTTAAGATTTTCGCGTTACACTTCTGTGATATAGTTACTAAAGAAGAATATTTTTTTTCTGTGGCTACAGATTCTAATGAGTGCTACTCTTGATGCTGAGAGATTTTCTGGATATTTTGGAGGTTGCCCGGTTGTCCGAGTGCCTGGGTTCACTTATCCAGTTAATTCTCCTCCCACTCTAGAATCTCCTTTAGTCTCGATGTATTTGAAATAATCTTCTTGCCCATGTGTTTAGGTCAGAACCTTTTATCTGGAAGATGTGCTCTCGGTCGTGAAATCAGACAAGAATCATAATCTAATTTCTGCCGGCTCGAGCAGACCAGATGGCAAGCGTGATATTAAAGATGAAGATAAAGTTGCTTTAGATGAAGCAATTGAGTTGGCATGGACAAATGATGAGTTTGAAGCTCTCTTAGATCTGGTTTCCTCTGAAGAAAGTCAAGAAGTTTACAATTACAAGCAATCATCGACCTGGCTAACACCACTTATGGTTTTTGCTGGAAAGGGCAGGGTTAGCAATGTCTGTAAGCTCCTCTCATTTGGCGCTGACTTCAAATTGAAGTCCAAAGAAGGTATGACAGCATTGGAATTGGCCGAAAAAGAGAATCAATTTGAAGCTGCTCAAATAATCAGGGAACATGCCGATAATATCCAGTCCAATTCTCAGCAAGCACAAGACTTACTTGATAAGTATATGGCGACAATCAATCCAGACGAAGTAGATGTGGGTCTTATAGTGCATCTAATGAGGAAAATATGTAGCGACTCAGAAGCTGGTGCCGTTCTTGTGTTTCTACCTGGGTGGGACGAAATAAGTAAAACGAAAGAGATATTGCTTGCTAATCCCTATTTTGCAGATAGTTCCAAATACATCATCATATGTCTACACTCAAGGGTTCCGGTAGAGGAACAGAAGAAAGTTTTTAAACGCCCCCCTCAAGGTTGTCGCAAAATTGTACTTGCGACAAATATTGCTGAATCAGCAGTTACTATCGATGATGTAGTTTATGTGATAGATAGTGGGCGGATGAAGGAAAAGAGTTATGATCCTTATAATGACGTGTCAACGCTAGAATCTTCTTGGGTTTCAAAAGCGAATGCAAAACAGCGGGAAGGTCGAGCAGGCCGGTGCCAACCTGGAATTTGTTATCATCTCTATTCTAAACTTCGGGCAGCCTCTTTGCCTGAATATAGAATCCCTGAAGTCAGGAGGATGCCAGTAGATGAACTCTGCTTGCAGGTGCGGTTCTTTATATCTTAGAATTTCTCTATAACTTCTATTGTCATTCGTGCGTGGTAGTATCTTATTTGAATTTTTTTGCATAATTGAATTCTAACTTATGTCCCTAACTAATGAGTTCAGGTTAAGATGCTGGATCCGAGTTGCAACGTAAATGATTTCCTTCAAAAATTGATGGACCCGCCTGTTGATCAAAGCATTGCAAATGCCTTAACCACCCTTAAAGACATTGGAGCATTGACACCACAAGAAGAGCTAACAGAACTTGGGCAGAAATTTGGCCAGCTTCCAGTCCATCCTCGGATTAGCAAGATGCTTTATTTCGCCATATTAGTGAGCTGTCTGGAGCCAGCACTTATTCTGGCATGTGCAGCCGACACCAAGGATCCATTTACCATGCCCTTGGGGCCAGAAGAAAGAAGAAAAGCTGTTGCCGCAAAACGTGAACTTGCATCGCTTTATGGAGGCCACAGCGATCACCTTGCGATTGTTGCGGCTTTTCACTACTGGAAAGATGCAAAAAGAAATGGTCAATCTCAGGAATTTTGTTCTCAGTACTTTGTCTCTCCAAATGCCATGAAGATGCTGGATAATATGCGTGACAAGCTTCACGGGGAACTTGAAAGACATGGGCTCATTCCTAGAAATGACTCAAACTGTAGTCTGAATGCTCACGATCCTGGTATTCTCCGGGCTGTTCTAGCAGTAGGATTGTACCCTATGGTGGGAAGAATGTGCCCACCTTCCAAGAATAATAGAAGGTCACTAGTAGAGACCATCACGGGGGCCAAAGTTCGTGTGCTCTCGCTTTCAAACATGTCCTCTAGGGAGGAGGATGAAGCTTTAATTGTTTTTGATGAGATCACTCGAGGAGATTGGGACGTGCACATAAGAGAAAGCACTGCTCTTCCCACAATACCGTTGTTACTCTTTGCGGGAGAGATAGCTGTGGCTCCTACAGAGAGCTGTGATGCTGATAAGAGTGATGACGAGGAAGACAACGAAGTAGAAACTGTAGGAGATGTGATGGACATAGACAAAGCCGGTGGCAGGCCTGGAGATAAAATAATGCTTGCACCGGAAAATTCAGTCAAGGTGGTAGTGGATCGGTGGCTGCCTTTCGAGATGACAGCTTTTGAAATTTCTCAAATGTACATCTTGAGAGAGCGACTAATGGCCTCCATTTTGTTCAAGGTAGAGTAGTTATAATCACTATGGTTGAAGATATTCTTCACTTTATTCAGGTATTGGCATCCTTCTCACTCTTAACTTTTCTTTTATAGGTAAAACATCCACAAAAAAGGTTGCCACCTCATCTCGGAGCTTCTATGTACGCAATAGCTTGTATTCTCTCATTTGATGGCCTCTCAAAACCTTCAGTTCCAACGGTGTCGGAGCTCGAATCAGGCAACACGTCAGGTCTGGATAACGTGGGAGAGAGCTTGTTATCCAATCTCGCTGATGGGAATGAGCTACTTGACTCAGTCTCTGCTCCGACGGAAGCTGCTTCAGCAGTGAAGGAACCAGAGAAGAAGCGACGAAGATCCAAAAAGCGGAAAGCAGCCGAAAATTTGGATGTGGCTAATGAGCAACTAGAGCTTAAGCCAGCCAACGAATCGGATTTGGGTAACATGGTAGAGAGCTTGCCTTCCAATGTTGTTAATGGAAATGAACAACCTGAGACAAACACTGCTCCGGCTGAAGCTTCTTCAGCAGGTGAAGAACCAGAGAAGAAGCGATCAAGAAGTTCCAAAAAGCGGAAAGCAGCCAATGAATCGGATTTGGGTAACATAGAGAGCTTGCCTTCCAATGTTGTTAATGGAAATGAACAACTTAACACAAACACTGCTCCGGGGGAAGCTGCTACAGCAGGTGAAGAACCAGAGAAGAAGCGATCAAGAAGTTCCAAAAAGCGGAAATCATCCAAGAACTTGGATTTGGGGAACATAGAAGTGAAAGAGCCTTCTGATCTAGCTAATAATGGGAATGATCAAACAGAAGTTAAGTCAGCCAGCAAGGAGAAAGAGAGCATCCCTGCAAATGTTACCAATGGGAATGAGCAACTTGACCCAAACTCTGCTCAAATGGAACCTGCTTCAGCGGCTAAGGAACCAGAAAAGAAGCAATCAAGATCCAAAAGGCGCAAATTAGCGAACAACTCAAGTTCGGCTAGTAACGTGGAAGAGAATGTGCCTTCCACTAATGGGAGTGAAGATATAAACAGTGGTCTTACCGAAGCTACATGAATGGCAACCTGATCGTTTCATCAGTGGGAGAACAGCTAAGGAAGCAAAGCTGAAAGTGAAAGCCATGAAGTTGTTGACTCTCTTGCATTCCACTTTGGTGTTTGAATGGCCCATTATTTATCTAGATGGCTTAAACAGTTTTTGAAATCTCAAAAAGGTTGTGTTGTTCACGGTTACTTGTTTGGTTAAATGTTTTGTAGGTTCTGCTTCTGAGCCATTCTTTACTTTCTACTCTTGTTGTTTAAACAGTTTTCCAAATATAATTGTTACATCCTCAACCTACTAATCAGAGAAGCAAAAATCATTAGACCAACTCCATCGGGGGTAATAGTGAAGGGTTCTTCCAAATAAAAGGGGGAAAAATAAATGAAAAAAGAAAAAAACACACAGAACCGCGGCTTTAGGAGAGAGCGGTAGAAGTTGTAATAACCCCATACGTGGCAGGTTCTGATAGGTTTGAAAAACGGTGACTACTTTCTTCTCTTTCAATCTCGAAACAAAAGTTTTTGTTTTCTCCTCTCTCTCTCTCAGACAAATTTCTCACCGACGATTCTTTGGAAATCGATGGTGATAGGTGTGGGGGAGGAGATGATTATCTCTGTCTTCGTCTCTCTGTTCCCGAAGAGTCCTCTCTTCGCCATCGATGTTGTCGATGTTGATCGGTTTCTCCAGAGACGAATCTGTCTCTTTGCCTTCGATTATGACGAAATCTCCAATAGGAGATGAAGGTTGATCTATTTTCTCCCTTTGTCGATCTTCTCTGTGATCTATTTTGATTATGACGAAATCTTCCGTCCATGCAATCCCGTGATAATTTTTTTTTTTTTTGCTCAGATGTTCATGAAAAGTGGTGTGATGGAGATCGATTAGGGAGCCAACGCGTTCAATCTCGACTTTCATCCATCGAAGAATCTACGATACAGAGTCTTCACTTGTCAGATAATAATTAAACTCTCTTTGTATCTTCAAAGTTTGTTTCTTTTTTGTTGTGGGTCTTGTATAGATAGCTGATTTTTTTGTATTAGGGAGAGTTAAGTTTGTATTGTTGGTTGTTTTGGATTCTGTTGTATTGTTGATTGGTCATAAAAACATTAGTGGAGTATTGACTCTTGGAAAGCTTATTTTATCTGCAGGCTTTCCCAGCTCTCTGATGGATGCCATAGGGAAGTTTCAGCAGAGCAAAGCTGGTGGGATGTTCATAGATTCATGCTTCACTCATTGCCAGACTGTTACGTCAGGGACATGAATCGAAAACAAGGTAAAATCTCTTTGACACACAATCTGTTGCTTTCTTCTTACAGTTGAACTGATCAGGTTTTGTCTCTCTTCTGTTTTGTTATTGGAACTTGGAACAGACAATTGCAGAGTCTGTAGGTGACTTTCTATTTTTGTTGTTTTTGGCAGTGATTTACAGCTTCTCCTCCTCCTTCAATAGCTCCCTCAGCCCCAGATTTCAACGGACACCCTCATCATGTATCTCCATCTACTACTCCACCGCCTGATTTAACTCCCAGTAATGTACACCACGCATCATCTCCTCCTCCACCTTCATACCATCGACATCATCAAGACCCAAAGAAGATCACAAATAGTCCAGCTCCTTCACCACCACCACAACCAACGCATCTCATAACTCCAAGGAAACCAAAGCGTAAAGGTTTCAACTTTACCATAGCCTTTGAGATACTTGGATTGGCCAGTCATCATCACTCTTCTCATGATCTTAATTCTCTCTTCTTTCTTTGTTTTGTTGTTACAGGTTCAGTGTCTCCTCTTCCATCACCACACCATCTTCGTTCTCCTCCAATTCATTCTTCTTATATTTCTCCTGCTCACCCTCCAATCTCTACCTCAATGGATCATATCTCCATAGCTCCAGCACCTTCTCCTACCCAAGGTTTCATTCCTCCACTTATAATTTTTCCAAATCAGGTTCTAGGTTTATAATAACTTGATTACCGGTAAATTTCGTTGCAGGTAGGCAATTTCTTGCACTATATAAGCCGGTTCATAGCCGGTTTTGCAATCGGATTCTCTAGCGTATGGCAAATAAGTCTTGTCACTCTGTCCATAGTCCCTCTCATTGCTTTAGCTGGTGGCATCTACGCGTTCGTGGCCATTGGACTTATCGCCCGAGTCCGGAAATCATACATCAAGGCCGGTGAGATTGCTGAAGAGGTTAGTTACTTGTATGACAAGTAAAGTTCATATATTGAAAATCTTAGGTTTTGTGTGTAATTCAAATTTTATGTCTTTTTTATTAAAACTTTTATGTATGTTTTTATAAATCATTCTATTTATAAAAAAAAAAAAAAAAAATAAGAACCCCATAGGGGTTCTCCCATTGGAGGTCAAAAATTTAATTAGCACTAACAAAGGTTCTTAAAGTTTCAAAAGCCCATTTTTATTCTTAAACTAATCTAAAGCACCCATAAGGGGTGTCTATGGATGGACATGCTCTTACTGACTAGTGTTATCTTAAACAGACCGAAGGGTTATAATCTGACGTGGTACAAGAACAAGTGTATTTGACACGTGGCGTCTTACAATACCTCAGCAACCTTATCTTGGACATCAAGAGAGAGATCCTCTAATATCCAAAACCAACCAATCATCTTCACTCTTGATGCATTATCACACACTCGACAATCCTCAAAACACACATTTCATCACAAACTTAACCAGACAGAGCTTAAAAGAGAGAGAGACAGATAGAGAGAGAGAGAAAATGGCATACAGCGCGTGTTTCCTACAGCCGAGCGCACTGGCCTCCTCCGCCGCACGTTCTTCATCCCAACGCTACGTTTCACTCTCCAAACCCGTTCAGGTAGTCTGCAAAGCCCAACAGCCTCATGAAGACGATAACTCCACCGTCTCTCGTCGTCTCGCTCTCACACTCCTCGTCGGCGCTGCTGCAGTTGGTTCCAAAGTGTCTCCCGCTGATGCCGCCTACGGTGAAGCTGGTAAAGAAACACAAACTCCTTTTAGATACATTTCATTTTCAGACCAAACAGTGATCATAGTTGTGTGGTTTCTCTCTCTCTCTCTCTCTCTGTTTCTTGGTTTTGCAGCAAATGTGTTTGGGAAGCCAAAGAAAAACACAGACTTCACAGCATACACTGGAGATGGATTCCAAGTGCAGGTGCCAGCTAAATGGAACCCAAGCAAAGAGGTAGAGTATCCAGGACAAGTCCTTAGGTACGAAGACAACTTTGATGCTACTAGCAATCTCAATGTCATGGTCACTCCTACAGACAAGAAGTCCATCACTGATTACGGCTCTCCTGAAGAGTTCCTCTCTCAGGTCTCTTTACTCACTTTTTACATCGTCAAAGATAAATTTATGAATATCAAAATCAAGAGACTGAATGATCATCATTTCTGTTTTAGGTCAACTACCTCCTTGGGAAACAAGCTTACTTCGGTGAGACTGCCTCTGAGGTAAACTTCCATTAAAGTAGAATGTGAGAGTTAGAGAAAGCTTAAGACACTGTATCACCATTGCTACCTTATGTCTAAATTTGGATTAGTGAGTACATAACAGTTTGTGTCTTCGCCTTACACAGGGAGGCTTTGACAACAATGCAGTGGCAACAGCAAACATTCTGGATACGAATGTTCAGGACGTTGGTGGGAAACCATACTATTACTTGTCAGTGTTGACAAGAACCGCTGATGGAGATGAAGGTGGTAAGCATCAGCTGATCACAGCTACAGTGAATGGAGGCAAGCTTTACATCTGCAAAGCACAAGCTGGAGACAAGAGGTGGTTCAAGGGAGCCAACAAATTTGTCGAGAAAGCAGCTACTTCTTTCAGTGTTGCTTGAATGTAAAGCAACATAAACAGAACAGAACAATGCTATTGCTTTCTTTCTTCATTTGTCTTTTGTAAAAAAACTGAAAAATGAAACTAAGCTTTTGAGTAACTATCAAAATGATGATGCTATCTTTGATATTCGGTAGATGTCTGCTCATATGTATAATCAATCATCAAATGAAACATATAATAATAATAACATCATCACCTTTATAGTTATTCATCACGCCCAAAACCAACTTCATTTATATATTGGTAATTACAGTAGTGATTACAGATTCTGATAGTTTGCAATGTGAAATAAAAGTTTTCAAGAAGATGGAGCTGCAGGTGGTGGAGGTTTGAGCAGAGGCTGTAGGGCCTTCACAACTATGCTCATATTTGGTCTAAACTCAGCTTCGTATTGCACACACAATGCTGCCACCGCTGCTAGCTGCATTTGCCACAATAGAAACATATTTGTTTGATTTATTACCAAAGTCTTCTTTCAACGGCATTGAGAGACAGAGATAGAGAGAGGTACCTTAGCAACTGCTTTTGGAGGGTATTCAGCATTTAACTTTGGATCAATGCACTCTTTGACTTTATCTTCACTGAGTCTTGGTGTCGCCTAATAGACAAAAACATCAAATGGTAAGACAGGACCAACATACTATTTTTTAAGAAAAGAAGAAGAATGGTCCAGATTTGGAGCAGCGTATACTCACCCAGGTGACAAGACTCTGTTGACCACGAGGCATGTTATTATCAACTGGTTTCCTCCCTGTCAGAAGTTCTAGAAGTACAACACCAAAGCTGTACACATCACTCTTCTGAGTTAATTGTCCAGTCATTGCGTATCTGCATATGAGGAAAGATTAGCTGCTTCTTAAGACAATTTATACATACAAAAAAAACAATAATGGTACACAAGAAACAATACTCTGGAGCATGATAACCAAAAGTTCCCAAGACTCTTGTAGAGTGAAGACGAGCAGCGTTATCAGGGGATTGGTTTGAGAGATTGAAATCAGAAATCTTTGGTTTGTAGTCATCAAAGAGAAGAACATTGCTAGATCTTATGTCTCTATGGATTACAGGAGGCTGAGACTTCTCATGAAGGTATTCCAAACCCCTAGCTGCCTCAACTGCTATTTTCACCCTTGTTGTCCAGTCAAGTGTTGGACCTGGCTGTGCCCCTTGAACTCCCTTCTTACCTGTAGTCAAACCAGGGAGTTTATTTACCAAGTGAACTGAGTAGAGAATCTTAGAGTGGTAAAAGCTTATTCTTACCATGCAAGACGTCATGCAATGATCCCATTGTTGCAAACTCATATGCAAGGACGCGGAGTTTTCCATCAACACAAAAACCAAGCAATTGAACGAGATTCTCATGCTTAAGTCTAGAAACCATGGATACCTAAGGAAGAGCAAAGTATTTAACACATCAAGTTGAAAAAAAGATGTAGACTCAAACTTTCTGAATTGAATAAGATGAATAACCTGACTCAAGAACTCGACATCTGTTTCAGACTCAGATGCGGCATCAAGTTTCTTAAGAGCAACAGCTATACCATCATTTAGTGTGCCGTAATAAACTCTTCCGTAAGAGCCTTCACCAATCAGGGCCTTGGATCCGAAATTATCAGTCTTTTCCTTGACCTCATCCAAAGACAAGGCAGGAACCACGATGGGAAGCGCTTCCTTCCGCACCTCAGGCTTTGCAACAACAGCTGGTGGTTTTGGATTCTTGTGATTTGCTGCTACATACATGAACAAAAAAACTCAACGTTAATAGAAAACCATTACATATTAGAAACACATAATACAAAGCCTCTAGTATTTGAAGATCTTAATGGTGCGTAAATAGAAAAGGAAAAAACTGGAGATGGAGAGAAAAGCATTACCAAGAGAATGATGCTGGTGAGAAGATTTCAAATGTTCATCTTCATTAGAGTCTTGAATTTGACATGTACAGCACATCCACTTGCACATCCTCATCGTCTCCACAAACCTTTTTTTTTGGCTCCTGAAACATTTATCAAAAGTGAGATACTTTTAAATAGAGATCACGATGCAAAATTTTGAATGAGCACATTCTATGGGGAAAATAGAGAAAGATTCAATCAAGGCATATGATCCAGCAAGGACTACATTTGATGAGAACATTTGTTCTTTTCTACATGCAAAAGAGTCAACATTTATTACGTATCAAAAAACAAAAGAAAGATGAGAAATCTAAGCAAAAACACAAACAAAATCTAAGAGAAACGCAAAAGAGAAGAATACGTTACCTGTCCTGCGTCACCAACAAAACTCGCTGTGTCCCTCTCAATCTCTCTAAGATTCGTTCGTTGTGTACGATCGTCTCCTCGAGAGAAAGAGGGAGAGAGAGAAAGAGGAGCTTGCTTGATGGGGAAGGAAAGAGAGAGCGAATGGCAAAAAGGAGGAGCCTTTGTGCGTTTACGTTTGCTTTTTATTGAAGCTAAAATCGCGCCTCTTTCTGCTCTGCTTTGGTTGTTTCTCTAATCATTTTAAAACTTACAACATTTCAATCTTTTTCCGTTCTTTTTTAGTTATATAGTTTTTTCCAGATATGTAAACCTTTATCACCACGTAAAAGATAAATCGTATTATATACAGCTCACCAAAAAAAAAACAAGAACAACGAATTTACAGAGGATCACTCTTTTCGGATTTTGCATATGATGATGCTCTTTACAATTTCATTTAAATTGTTCAAGTAAAGTACAAGAAGCACCGACTTTAGGCGCATGATATCCAATTCTCTATTGAAAGATAGCTTCTGAGTAGCGCTTTGATTCATCAGGTGATGCCAGGCGCCACATGTAACTAACACATATACCAACCAAACTCTTTTTGTTCGTATCAATTTATAATCCAACAAACAAGATTTTTCAGAAGCCTTTTGATGATTTTATGACCATATTTGCACCTCCAAAACAATACTTTCATGTATCACCTCCTTATGGACTGTCTTCTCTGGTAAAAACAAGAAAATGAATCAACGATCCAATGGGTTTCAAAAAAAGAAAAAAGAAAAAAAAAAGAATCAACGATCCATTCATCAAAAAAGATAAATTTAAACATCTTAAAACCTCTACCAATTCAGGCTTACCTTTAGCAAGCATTGATGCAGTTGTTGTGTGTTCAAAAGGGTCAATCAACTACAGTGAGCCCAGAGAATCATTACAAGTACAAATTTACAGATCCAGTACAAAGGAGAACCTGCATATACAACACACACGCATATCAAAAGACATAGAGTTTATATGTGCGATCTAAAACCAACAAACTTACCAAGGATTCTGGCCCCAAAAACCCAAGACGCCACCTGCTCCTACTGATCTTCCCGAGCTATCAATAGCTCCCAACCTTCAATAGGATGCTCCAACCTTGGAAATTTAACGCTTTGAATGCTCTGCATCAGATGCACCATTTAATTGATCACATCAGAACTAGACATCGTGGATCAATAAGCCTAATCCCCATCAGATATTTCTTTCCTGCAAAATTGAGGTTATATAGCAATGAGATATTAGAAATAAATACCAATATGCATTACGATGGAGCAAAATATATAGACACTATAAACTACTAATGCTTTTTCTCCAACTGGATAGCCAGCTCTAATAAAAAGCTTGAAGAACATTAACTATTACTAAGCTTTTCAAACTCAGAAAGAAGAGAGAAAGAGCTCAGACCATATGTGATACGAAATCCAGAAGCAAAAGTGCTTCACTGATCTTCCTGTTCCGGAAAAGTCCCTTGATAAGGCTACAAAATGTTTCCATATCCGGACTGGCACCTTTCTTCGTCATGTTCGAGAACAACTGAAAAGCCTTATCCACTTTATTAGCAAGACAAAGGCTTTCAATCAACATATTATATGTACTACTGTAGTTAGCCAACGTGGGTGACAATGTTGCAACCTCTTCAAGAAGCGTAAGAGCCATCTCCAACCTCTCAGCTTTAATAAGATTATCAATCAAAAGCCTATATACAGAAAGAAAAGGAGCAGTATCATCCTTGGTTATCTCATCGAGAAGCCCAAGAGATTCTATGAACTCTTTACTGAATCCTTCAATGACTTTGCGATATCCTGCGGTGTGTGTAGGCCAATGTGTCTGTTTCATTTCTTCTAAAAGATTGTAAGCCACATCCAATACACCGTTTTGGCAACAATGACCTATCAACACCTTATAAGTAACATAATTTGGAGCAACACCGTTGGAACCCATTCGCTCTACGAGCTCAAGGCATGTTTCTATTTTACCAATCTTTCCAAATCCGTCAATCAACGCCGTGTACGTCACAACATTTGGCTGACACCCGTTTTCTTCCATCACTTTCATGAGCTTATAAGCTTCATCAGTTTTACCAACCTTGCACAAGCCATCAATCATCTCAGTGTATATAACCACATTGGGCTTACAGTTGTCAAGCATCTTCGACAACACTTTTGAAACTAAATCTTGGCGCTTCATTTTGAAATAACGATCAATCAACGAACTGTAAGTATATATGGTTGCGGTAAATCCATGCTCAGACATCTCAGTTTTCACTTCTTGCGCTTCCTCTAGTTTCCCAACCTTGCAGAGTCCATCGATAAGAGCATCATACACAATCTCATTCGGTTCACAACCTCCCATGGACATAGCATCTAACAACTTACGAGCTTCCTCTACCCTATGCGACTTGCAGAAACCATCTACCAAAGCTCCATACGTAACTACATTTGGTCTCTCACCATCGTGCTGCGTGAAGTACATATCTACATCTGGAACATCTTTGCTGCCACACATTCTTTCAAAAATCTGGCAAGCTTTCTCCGTTTGTCCAGCTTTACAATGGCCATCAATTAAGGCAGAATATGTAACGATGTTGGGGACACACCCTTCAGACAGCATCGTTTCAAACAGCTCATTCGCATAGCTGACCTTCTTAGCCTTAAGGTAAGCATGGATAAGAGCAGTATACGTGACGACGTTAGGTGTACAACCAACTTTCCTCATTTCATCGAACCACTTGCGAGCCTGTTCAATCAGGCCAGCTTTACAGAAACTATCTACCATGATAGTATATGTGTAGACATCGGCAACAAGGCCACGGTTTTTCATCTCTTCAAACAACAGAAACGCCATTTCCATTTTCGACGCATTACATAAATAACCAAGAACTTTGGAATAAGTACTATTATCTGGTATAAATCCCTGGCCGATCATTTCACGGATAACACTGAACGCCTTCTCATACTTCCCAGCGCCACAAAGACACCTCGTGAAGCTGCTGACATTAATCTTATTAAGAACAACCCCTGCAGCAAGCATTTCACTGTACGCTTTCTCAGCCAATTCCAAAAGATCACCACTAAGCGAGTCTTTGCCACCACAGATACTCCCAATCAATATATTGTACACAACATATCCTGGCATGTGACCACACTGAACCATTTTCTTTAACAATTTGTATGCATATGAATAATCTCCCGTTGTGCAATAAGCATGCACAAGAGAATTAAAAACCTTAGGACTCGGATAACAACCTTCAATCATCATCATATTAAGTACCCTCTTACACCTCCCCAGCTGCTTTTTATTCAAACACCCACACAGCAAAGTAGAATAAGTCACCACATTAGGAAGACATGAAGCAGCTCGCATCCTATTCAAAAAATCCATAGCCTCTTCAAAAAGCGAAGCTTCACACAAACCAGATATCAGTTTCGTATAAAAAACAGTATCAGGCACAAACTTCTCAGTCTCCACCAACGCTAAAGCCTCCCTCCACTTCCCCACTTTACATAGAGAATAAGCAAAGCATCTTAACGTAAACCCATCCATACTCACATTCCCAAGCGACATCTCCCGATGAACCAAAGAAGCAGATTCCAAACTACCTGCTTTCAAGAAACCCTGAACCAAACAATTATAAGTAGCTCTCGAAGGTCTAAACCTAAAATCCTTCAACCTCCCTAACTCCTCAAGAGCAACACTAAAAGAACCGTTCCCGCAACGTCTCCTTATCAACACATTCAGAAACTCTCCCAGCATCTCCTTATCATCTTCTCTGATCTGTTCCAAGAGCTCTTCAGGGACTTTTTCGTCATTATCAGTTACAATCAAGTCAACCAAAGCGTTGTACACAAGTGGTGTGTGCTTGTAACCTATCTGCCTACCTGCCCAAATAAAAAAGCTGATAACAGCAGAGGGCTTTTCTACCAAACGCAACACCTCAATCACTAATCTCTCGTTTAGTTTCTCTCTAAATTGTCTAAGAAGCTTCTGGGATTTGTTACTCCCAGACACGTCATCGCCACGAGAAACAGCGTTAGCAATGGCTATAGCATCAAGGGAAGGTGATTCAGTTGTGTGGACATTGGTCTTTGGAGAGTCAGCTAAGGAATCTAGGAGAAAGGAGTGGTCTTTAGTCAAACCCGCGACTTCTCGCGATTCGTTAGGTGAGAAAGGTTCGTCAAAACCGTACATTTCGTCGGGAGGAGGAGTGGAGATAAACCTGGAGGTGAGATAACGGCTACAGGTGGAGACTGTAGCGAGGAGAGAGCGATTAAGAGATGAATTGGTGGAGAATTGAATGAGAAGATGATGGGAACGAGAAAGAAGACATCTTACGACTGTTTTGTTCATAGCTATCGTACAAATCAATAGAGAGAAATTAGGGTTTAGAAAAGAGGATTCTGGGTTTATATGATGAAGAAGGAACACAGAATTATTTATTTTTTAAGCAAATAAAAAAACTAGAGGATGATGTGAACGAGTGAACCCACCTGATAGATGTAAGGGTTTAGGGTTTAAGAGATTGAACCACCTGGTATATGTAAAAAACTTTTTACTTCACTATTATTGTAACCAAATCTTGCAGCAAGTTTTCAATCGAAGTTAATTTTGATTTTCTTCCATCTTCTTTTTGTATTCTCAATATCAGAATTTGTAACAAAAAGTTGAGTCTTAACATAAGGTGGGATAAGAGAATATAGTAGCTACAAGAGTTTGGTGACAAATAGTTCAAAAGTTTAACAAGTTATAAGCGCAGAAGGAAGAATCCACGTGAAAACAAAACTTGGTGGTCTGAGCAAAGATAACCATTAATGTGTGTGTTTATTGATTTTAATCTTGGCCTCTTCTCATCTTCTTCTTCTGTTTATCTTCAGTACGATACCTCTCACGTCTCTCTTCTCTGTTCCGTTTCTTAGATATTACCTCTTTCTTAGCTTTCTCTGCCTCGTACGCTTTCCTCTTCTCCTGCTCCTTTGCTTTCTTCTTAGTCATCTGCATTTGTATCCACAGTTCCCAAGTCCATTTGTTATTGACAAGAAGTGAGAAACACCAAACCAACTTTTATGCATAGGAGATTTCTAAACATTACCTTGACTTTATTCATTAGCTTGTAGTGCTGGACGACAGCATGAGCTTTTCGTTCATCCGGCTCCATTACTACAGCTCTTCTATCATCTAGTGATGGTCTTTTTCGCGCTGGTTTGTTCTTGGGTTTGGAAGCAAACGGTAACTCTGCTTGTAGTTTCTTTGGAATCACCAATGGATTGAACTTCTTTATCTTCCTTTCGATTGGCTACAAAGAAAAAAAAAGAGAGAGAGAATCAGTTGTGGGATTCATCAACGGAACCTAATGTTACCGCATTTTTTTATGGGGGATTTTTTTACCTTGTAGAGTGAATCCTTGTTCACAGGAATAGGGATGTTATGCTCACTACGGAGTTCCCTAAACGTTTTCATCCCTGTCCACGTCTTATCCCGGGGTTGCAAGGCTGTAGTTAAAGGATTGTAAAATTGTGGAACTTCCACATTTGTCCAAGCCCTTAAGAAGACTATGTCGCTCATTTTTATTTGATCTTCAAATGTACACCTTGCAATTCCTTCTTGTGCATTGTTATCAAGCATGTTTTTCCCAGCCTGACAAAAAAAAGGAAGGTTTAGAGAGATTCGAAGAGCCAACAAGAAATGAAGAAAAATTTTACGTGATGATCACTGACTGTAAAGCTTCTTAAGCTAATGCGTACCTTTTTAACTTGTCCTCTAATGCCACTAACTGTCCGGACAGATGAGCCTTCAAATCGAGCTATTTCAAGGTCAGAAGTGAACATGTCTTTGATGAATGCAGTATTTTTCTTGATCTTGCATGGGTGCCCAACCAGCTTGATCTTCTTTGAAATATGGGTTTGGTGATTATACTCAAGTACGACCGAAGTCGCTGTTATCCTAAACCCTGTCTGAAGCACAAAACCAAGAGAGCCACACTCAGTGGGAAAGAATACAACAGATCTTTACCCGAGCAAGAAACCAATAAAGTTCCCCTTGATGACCAAAACATTTACTAGACAATAATGGATGAAACACTTCTCAACACTGAACAATAGAACAGTATGGGCTAATATGGCAGCATATTTACATGAGGAAACGGTCATTTTAGCTTGTCGCAAAAGTTAAATAAGGACGAAAACATCTTTTAGCTTTTGTCAATTCACATGCTAAGTATCAATTTTTAAAACAAGCTTAGCATATGCATGCTAGTATTGTCTATTGGTCAGCCCACCTTAAACTCACACTACCCATTTCATGAAGATGCACTTCGCTTTAACAAATACGTTTATCACAACAGAACAACCAGACTCCAAAGGTAACATTGGGATCAAAATCTTAATCATCACAGTGCATTCGCATACCTGATTGCTTGACAGGTTTTGGAAAGCGACAAAGCCTGTGTTGGGTGGGACAAGAGGACCCCAGAACATAGCAAGGCAGTGCATGTGTTCTGGAGTATACTTAAGCATTCTATGTCTCCCATTGCGATCTTCTATGGCGTACACAGGAATAGTCTGATAGCGTCTCCATCCGATAGACACAATAATGGGATCTCTTGTCTTTAGTACTTTCTTGTGCCACCTATGTTTCTTCAACCGGGCCTAAGGAAAAAACAATATATCATACAATAAGCAGTATTCAATATCAACTAGCTTTAAATTAAGAATAAAATGTTTGATTATGAAGTGAACTACTTAATTCAACTTTCTTCTAGGTCATAAAAGAGAAAATGGTCGCAGCCTTACCTGCATATATCCAGCACTATCCTCGCCAAAACCAATACCTCCAATAAGAACTGGATGACACGGGTCAAAGAAATCAACCATCTCGTAAGGAACATTGTGAATCTCCAGCCGCAAGTATGTTCCAGTCCGGAATCCTTCTATCTCAATTCGAGTATCCTCGTCAAGATCATTGAGTTCCAACAAATTCATCTGTTTTCTAAGTTCAAGCTCCTCCTTCAACTAAAGAGACAATAAAGTAAGTGAACAATATAAAGTACAAAAATCTTTACCAAGCAGGAACATTTACTTACTTTGTCAACGAAACCGGGTTCCTTGGCTTCACTATTACGGGGATTGATCTCATCACCATTATCATTGTCGTCATCCTCTAACTCCGTTTTATTGCTTGTGCAATGAAGTTAAGGTTGAACAAAAAGGTACCTTGTCAATGTGCAAACTAAAACAGAAGCATAAAACCAGATATGACAAACAGAAGACATGCAGTATATAAATTATTGGCCTAACACAGATATGTATGACGGTAAATGATATGGTGCATAGAATAGTTAAACGATGACATTCAAGTAAAAAAGGATATTGTGCATCAAACTTTGCTCGGAGAGCCAGCTTTTTAAGCCTACGCTCAGCATCTTCAACATCTTCATTTGTACCAGAATCCATGTTCTCATCGTCATTATGCTTCTCTCCTGTCTCTAGATCCTCAAAATCCCCATACAGTTCATCATCATCTCCCTCACCGCCAGCAACTGAATTTTTATTTCTCAGAGCAGCTTTTGACCAGTCACCAGTGGTAAAACGATTACGAATGTCCTCACAAACTTCTTTCTCTTTCCAATTCTTCAGGTTTCCATAATTTACAAATTTGGAACAATCCTCTGAGTTGACATGTCCCGCATCACTTCCGCCACCTAAGTTCTGTAAGTAGATGAAAAAAAGCAGATAGTTAGAGCCAATTACTTTCTAAGAATAAGAAAGGATTACCAAACTTTCTTTGGTCTTGAATTGACAAACCTTGCTATGTTCTCCTTTTGGCTTAAAGAAGTCTTCTTCATCATCACTATTTTCATGGTTCTGATTTATCAAGGCAGTAGCTGATGATGCTGGTGCACCATACACAATTTGCATCAAGTTGGGATTCTTCTTTCTGCCCTTCTCCTTTAATGGTTCTTTCCATTTTGATATGTTACCAAGGACCTTATCTTCTGATTCCTCAACATCATCTTCATCCGACTCCTGCGAATCGTAAACAGAGTCATCTTCCCCATCTTCATCTTCATTTCCGTCAGATTCAGCATCTTCTGCTTCCTCATCATCATTATCTTTGTCCGAGTCCTGCGTCCCACACACCCATGCATAACAAACGGTAAAACTGGTCAGTCAGACATTAAGGAAATCATGTGGTTTTGAGTAATAGAAGCATCACGAAAATCAGATCAAGCACATCACTTACACCAACCTCATCCTTGAAGATAGCTTTCCTCCTCAGCCTTCCACCATGGAGCTCGGTTTTGTGCTTAATTTTACCGCCATTGCTATCTACATCCATATCATGATCATCAACATCATCACCGGACTGAGAGTCCTCTGACTCAGTGTCAGAACCTTCTGGTGACAATTCCGCATCTTCCTCAAGTTTTCTTTCTGAGCTTGCAATAGTCTTTTTGCCAAATAAATTAATGAAAGTCTTCTCCAATTTCTCATCAACAGAATATTTTGTGTTCTGCAACGACTTCACCAAATCTTCACCAACATCCTTGCCCCTTCCTGCCACGAGAAAAATGTCATAATCAGATATCAAGCTACAAACAATTACTGAGAGAACATAAAAATGCAAGACGCTGGAAAACCCTTAATAACCTTTATTAGCAGGTTCTCCATTTTCATCTTCAGTTTTAGAGTACTGAACAAGGTGATCATTTATGTTGATGTAAACAGCATCTTTGTCATACAAAAGATCTCCAATCCCAGACATAGGAGCATAGAAAAGCTTTTCTCTGTCCCTCAGCCCCTTTTTCTTGGCAGCTGAGGGTAAAGGACAAGGATCAGGTAAGGCAGTCACCCCAGCTAAACTATAGTCACCAACTCCAGCAATATGAACCTGATAATCATAAGAACTTATATCAGATGCATGTTAAACATGAAAAGAAAAGTCCAGTGAATCGGTAAAGAAAGCATTTTCAGCCTAACAGCAATCATTAAGATCAAGAAGCAGAGGGTATACAAATTTATGCTACTACATTAAGGAAGACCCAAACAATGCTATAAAATCAACTCATTTCTTGGCTCAAATAAACATCGATCATTTACCTTCATCCCTTTTTTCAAGTTACAACCACGTAGATAACCATACAAAGTGATATTTCTATCGCATTTCTTATCCATCTGAACTTTCTCGGGAGGTGTAACATCTTCCAGACGATCCGCCAACACATAAGGATGTGCTGTTCTCCATGACAACGGATGAAACTTGATGACAGATATAAAACGGGAGAGGTTCAGAACCTCACGCTGTGAATACCTGAGAATAAATAATAAATCAAAGGTGAACCTCAAGCGTTGCTAGTACATGTCCTTCAAATTGGTGAAACTATCAATGTAGATAAAAATAGATACTTACTTCCCATGAATGAGACCAGATAAATAGAACAATTTAGCTCCACTATAAATTTCAGTCCAAAAACGATGCTTGAGACGTTGCTTTGTCTTCCTCAGCTTCTTCACATCCTTGAACTTATCAAGGTGAGTGAGGACTCCCATAACTTTAGGAAAACCATGCACTTGCATAATATTGAGGAACTCAAAAGTTTCCTGCGAATCAAACAGATTAAAATACAGATTACTCACCACATTCTTTAGAGCAGAGAAATGCCAAACTTCATAAAGCACATATCATATTAAAAGAAAAGTCTATGGAACATAATAGTCAGTGGTCTCTCACCATCTCAAAACCATAACTCCCGTCAATGAGAAGTATTGCTAGATCAGCAACCTTGGCACAATCAATCATCCCATTGATATCATTAGGACACTCCACAAACTGTATCCGTTTCTTCTTACCTAAATACATAACCAGCCAAACGTTGATAAGATTAATAAAACTAAACCCTAAAATTAATAAGGAAGCAATTAACAATGTAGCACAGAACCTTGAACAATGGTAATTGGTCCTCGAACCTCAGGCACATTCTGGTGAGTAAAATGCTTAACAAGGGACTTAATCACTAGAGACTTTCCAACCTACAAGTAACCACAAACACAGTGTGACATAAACAATCAACACATCTGCAGGCAAAAAGAAAAATAACTAATCCAAAGAGTGTGTAAAAGACCACAGTACCCCTGGGGGACCTTGAACAACGACGACGAAAGGAGGAGGCTCTCCGTAAGTTCGATCAATCGTCGGAAGATGAATCCTCCGTTGTTCCTTCTCCACAGCGCGAATCTTCAAACGCTTCGCCTTAACAGCTGACCTAACGCTAAACGCCTGCATAATCAGTTAACAATCGGTTATCACGCAAACATATAACAACCGATTCAAAAGTAAAAATCAGAGTCGGGAACTTACTTTAGGGTTTTGCTGCTTGTTATCGACGACGCCACGCTTCTTCTTGTCAATCTCAGTTTTCTTCCTCATGGTGGGACCCGATTTGCGAGTCCGGTGAGACTTTTGCGACGACATCAAATCGTCCGCCATGGCGTATGGTGCTGAGAAGAAGATGAAGTGAGGTTTTTGGTGGCGCACCGTCGAGAAGATATTTAATCAAGTGAGGAGGCAAAACCCTTGGTTTTTTATAAACCCTTGATCATAAACAGTTAAACCGAAACAAACCGGATTACCCCAATTTTATACCACAAAAGAAACCATATCCGGTTCGATTTAATTTGGTATTCTACATTTATTCCGGTTCGGTTTAATTCAACATTTTATACATTCCCGGTTCGGTTTGATTTCACACTGAAGCCTTCTCTCTTACCTTTCTCATCAGCAAATTTCAAGATTGAAGACGAGAGAGAGAGAGAGAGAGAGAGAGAGAGAGAGAGAGAGAGAGAGAGAGAGCTTGAAGGAGACGACGAAGCAAATTCAAAAAAAAAGAATCTCTCTTTCGTCTTCTTCTTGACTCATCTGAATGAATCATCACGCGCTTACCCTAAAATTCCACTCCTTTTCTCCTCAGTATGCGTTACCCCTCTCCAATTTCACCCTCCAAAGCCCTAATCCTCTCCAATTCCGAGTCCCGAATGTGAGCAGCTCCGTCTGTCTCCGTTCCCGTAGCAGCGCCGCCGATGTATCTCCCGTTAGATACACGGATAGCTCCTCCTCCTCGTCCATCGGCTCGCTAGAGGAAAACGGAGGTTTCGTTGTGACGGAGAAACCTATCGATGTGGCAACTCTTGGTAATCTCTGCGTTGACATTGTTCTCAGTGTTGACGAATTGCCTCCGCCTTCGCGGGGAGAACGTAAGGCGCTGATGGACGAACTCTCTCTTTCTCCTCCTGATAAGGTTTGTGTGATAAAGTGGAATACTTTGTTGATCTTTCTTTTGTTCTTGGTGTTATTTTTAGTGAAGGTTTTTTGTTTTTGTTTTGTTTTGATTGTAGAAATATTGGGAAGCAGGTGGGAACTGTAATATGGCTATAGCAGCTGCTAGATTGGGGCTTCAGTGTGTTGCTATTGGTCACGTGGGGGAGGAGATTTACGGAGAGTTTCTTTTGGATGTGCTTCATGAAGAGGGGATAGGTACGGTTGCATTGGATGGAGAAGGAAATGATAAAGATGCCAGCTCGTTTTGTGAGACTCTTATTTGCTGGGTTCTTGTGGATCCTCTGCAGAGACATGGGTTTTGCAGGTAGTGATTTCTGAGTATTAAGTATAATTGAAATGCCTCCCATGGAAGCTCGAAAGTTCCTTATTTGATTGTAGTGGTTTGTGTAGGACGACAGTGTCTAATGGTATATAATGAATGCGTAATTCCAGTCATGTACTTTGATTGATGGTGATGGCTATTTAGAAATAGGAGGTTTCATTTCGATAGAGCTCTTTTGGAATGAATGTTGCAGACTGATCAGATTTTCTTTTGCTAACGGAAGCCATGTTTTACTCAGTTAGTTTTTTCTTATTGTCTATGCATAAGAACGCATGACTTTCTTGTTTACAAATCTCGTTTCTCTTAGAGATACAAACGTCAGTGGGTGATCTTGTCATACTTGCTTCCCTTCCTATTCTGTTTTTTCCTAGTTCTTTGACTAGAGGACTAAAGTCTCGTTTTATTCCTATTCTTATGTCTGTTTAGGATTATACTTACTTACTCCCTATGCTGTTATTCCTTTTAAGTACTTTGAACTACCTTGAACTTTGTTACTAGAGGTACTTATGTCTGTGGTTGTGTCTCTTTTTTCAGTCGAGCTGATTTCAAGGAGGAACCTGCTTTTAGTTGGATAACTGACCTATCTGATGAAGTAAAGATGGCGATCAGACAGTCAAAAGTTATTTTCTGCAATGGTTATGACTTTGACGATTTCAGCCCTAGTTTTATACAGTCAACGATAGACTATGCAACCAAAGTTGGAACAGCTGTCTTCTTTGATCCTGGACCACGGGGAAAGAGTCTTTCCAAGGGAACTCCTGATGAGCGAAGAGCACTCGCCCATTTATTAAAAATGAGTGATGTTCTTCTACTAACTTCTGAGGAGGTACGTTTTTATTGTTGCTTCATGTACACTACCTTTCTCCTTTTTGGTCGTAGCGTCTTTAGGCTAGTGATGCAGTGTGTTTGTAATTTAGATATGGTAATTAGTATTGGTAATAATAAGTTAACTGATCAAATGGTTGCTGACTTGTTTGATGAAATACTCAGGCGGAGTCTCTAACTGGCATCAGGAATCCTGTAAAAGCAGGACAAGAAATTCTTAGGAATGGGAAGGGATCAAAGTGGGTGATTGTAAAAATGGGCCCAAAAGGTTCAATTCTAGTGACCAAATCCAGTGTCTCAGTAGCACCTGCGTTTAAGGTACCTGCTTACAAATCATCTAAATATCTCATTTGGTATGTTATCTGAATCTGTCTTTCGCAAAACATCATGATCAGGTGGAGGTAGTTGATACTGTTGGATGTGGAGACAGTTTTGTGGCTGCAATTGCATTGGGTTATATACGCAACATGCCACTTGTTAACACCTTGACGATTGCAAATGCGGTTGGAGCAGCAACAGCAATGGGGTGTGGAGCAGGTAGAAATGTTGCGAAAAGGCAACAAGTGGTGGATCTCATAAAGGCGTCGAAACTCAACGATGAAGAAAACTTGTTAAAAGAACTACTCGCTGAAAACTCGGAAACTCCTAAAGTCAATCTTCTTTCAAAAGGGATGAGAACGGAAGGAAGCAACACGCAGCAGATAGAAGTAATCTCTATGGAAAAAGTGGTTTCTGAGTTGCTTCCAGAGCTTGAACTTGGGAGGTGTTGTGTAAAGGCTTCATCATGATGCATTTGAAACATTTATCGCTCACAAGATTCGCGGGGAGACTTTTTCAGCTGGCTTGGATGAAGAAATCTCGGGTAATTGATTGTTTGGCTATTTTTTTCTGGGGGAACAATCCCATAAGCACAAGGAAGATATGAAAGTGAAGTTGATCTTATAACAGTAAGGATAATAGCTCATCATAGAGAGAAGTTTGGTATTTTTTTGATGTTTGTCTTCTGTTATTGTGTAATTTGCTGTTAAATGACATTGTTGGTCGGATTGTTGTAGGAATTTACTGTTACATATTCAGGAATTTTCTATTTTGAGATATGTTTTTGACAAAACGGATGTTCTTTATATCCAGAGAGTTAATCTTGCATCGTTGTTGACAATACTAATCTCACTGCACGAACGCCCTGGAAAGCTCACCCAGTGTAGATATGTTTCTAACTCTCAGACTAATGCCTAAGCAAAGAGAGCAATCCAGAATTCCACAACTTCATACACATACCCCCCCCCCCCTTCAACCGAGACATTAGGCAACACTAACAGGTGAAAGTTGTGGTTTATGGACGCTGATAGGGTTGGACAGAGAAGGAAAAGACTTTGTTAGTTGATCGAGAGGAGATAGGGAGTGTTTGAAGCGAGTAAACGAGAACGGAGACTCCATATACGAGCTGTATAACCAACCAAGTCATGCTTGTGAAGTTGAACCAACCGGGAAAAACATTGTTCTTTCACCAACAAGGTTTAAACATTCAACATGATCTCATAAACTCCGTTTCAGAAAGCTGAAAGATCTAAACAACATCAAAAGATAAAAAGGTCATGAACCACTACCAACCAGACAAAGGAGCTTCAAGATATTCGAGTTTGCTTCTTGAAGCAATGATGAAATGGAAAGGCATTAAAAGAGATTTAGCTATTATATATGATCCAAGGGATAGTCCAAGTAACCATGGATTACAAGAACAACCTAGCAAACGACAAAGAAAGATCGAATTATACAGACACTACCCACCTACAATAGCGAGAAAGAAAGCTACTACCATATATCACTAAAAGACCCTAGCTTTTCACTTCATCCCTCTCTTCGAAACCCTCTTCACTGGAGACTTCACCGTCTTTGGCTTCACAACCTTCTTCACCGGAGTCTTCTTCTTCGTCACCACCTTCGTAGCCTTCTTCTTAGCCGCAGCACCAGCAGCAGCCTTCTTCCCTGGAGATGTCACCGTCGATGTCTTAGCCGCCTTAGCCTTAGGCTTCGCAGCAGCAACGGCTTTCCTCTTAGGCGCAACACTTGCCTTCCCCTTCGCCTTGGGCTTAACCGCCGAGGATTTCTTCGCTACCTTCGATTTGGAACCTCCGGTGGTAACCTTCTTCCCCTTCGGCTTCGAAACCGCCGCCGCAGCGGTGGCTACAGGCTTCTTCTTATCCGCCACCGCCTTGGGAGATGACGACGCAGACGATTTAGCAGATGGAATCTTAAACGAGGCTTTAACCTTCACAAGCTTCTCGGAAGCGACGAGTCTCTTGAGGTTGAGAAGCAGAAGCTTCCTGAAGGATGGAGAAAGCACTTTATGCTTCTCCTCGATGAACTTCTGAATCGCGTATTGGCTAGATCCGGTTCTCTCCTTCAACGATACGATCGCATCCTTAATCATCTAAAATCACAAACAAACAAAACAATAATCAATCTCACAATCGATTAAAAACGAATAAAGCTAGATCCGAATCGAGTCACGTTACCTCTTCGTAAGTAGGATGAGTAGAGACAGACTTCTTCTTCTTCGTAACCGCAGCGCCAGCAGCAGGCTTCTTCTTCTTCGCCTTCACTTCCTTAGCTTTCTTCGTCTTGCCTCCCTTCGCTACAGGCTCCGTCGTGGTGATTCCGTCCATAGGAGGAGGGATGTTCTCTTGATCAACCGCTGGACTCGCCATCGGGAACTTTGGTTTTTGATTGGTGGAAACCGTTTTAAGCTTTAGAGAAGATGAGAAGTTATTATGAGAATGGTGATGAAGTCTGTTAGTAAACGTCACGTTTATATAGTTAGATAGTGTGTTAGACGCAATGTCGTATCTCTCTTCTGATTGGTTGATACAATCACTACGCGGATCGCTACTCATTTTACTAAGTTTGAATGGTAATCGTTGGATCTTTTTTAATCAACGGTTTAGAAGGGATGATTTTTGATTGGGGGTGAAGAGGTTAGTGGACGTGGGTTAGATACTTTAGGTATGTTTGTTGTGCTTTTACGCTCGATTGATTTGATCATAGCTCGTGATATACTTGATGAAATTCGTTTTTGTTTTTTGCATTGTGTGGAAAATTCTGTGGGGTTTCTTTTGATTATATATTTGTGTCGAGAGGATTATTCTGTGATGAGAAAATCGGTTTTAAAGAGAGATGTGACATGAGTATTGTTTTTTCTTGGTTGTGTTACAGTACATTTGGTTTTCTGAATACTACTTAAGAGAAATTCATAGAAAAGGTACGTTAATCTGAAACCAGACAAACCAAGGAGTGGATCAAACCATCAATCCTAAAATTTCGATTACTCTTTGATGCAAAATCATTTGATTGGTTACTACTCAAGATGACCATCTTCTATAATATACTGCACACCGCTAATTCATATGTGTGTTAGACTTAGACCTTTGTTAAACATAGTCAGAGAGTAAAATAATTTTCATATATTGTGATCTACTTGTTAAGCTTGTTTTACAATGCTTCCTTGGCTGCTCTTTTGCCTTCTACGACGTTCTCTGAAGTATAAGGTACCTAAGAACAACACAAAGTGTCCAAAACATCACAACATGTAGCAAGAAACGGCAAGGAGAGGGATGAGATGAATGCTTACGGGTATGAAGTTATCGGTGTATGGATCCCATATATCAGGGACGATACCGTTTACTATTCCGTGGAACTTGTATAAATGTGGAGAGATTACAGAGTTTCCAGCTACTTCCTTGGCATACGTTCGTGACACCTAATGTATGTTAAGAGCAGAACAAGTCATTTTCAGTCTCAGCTTTTAATAGGGAAAAAGATATAAATGAATCTTTTTGACTTACCGTAGTGGCTTTATTTGCAAAAGTCATGGCTTTACCAATGGCACAAGCTCCAAATTCCAAATTATGGAGTGTGAAGACAACGCGAGTTTTAATTAAACCGTAATGCTGTGTAATGATCCTTGAACAGCCATGAAACTAGAGCACTGTACCAGTCATGACAGTGAAGAATGTCCTATACATGTTGGGACCATAGGTAGACCAAAATGTTAAAGACTTTTTATTAACGTCTCTCTCTCTATATAACTAGCAGACGTACTGGATGAAAACCTCCTTGTAGAAGGAACTCGAGAGTAGCATGACAGAAGAAACCAAACCTTCCTGCATCATCTGCGCAACCGTAAACACATCCTCGCTGAAACAATCTGCAACAGTCAAGGCAACAGCTTCTTCAATCAAGAGATGATGAATGGATTGTGGAAAGACTTTAAAGAAATATGCAAAAAGCTAACCCATTTTGAGGATCTAAGAAGTAAACCGAAACGCCTTCAACCTTCCCATGCTAGACTTTTATCTCTGTCCCTCCCCAGTTATAGCTTCTATTGAATTGCAAGTCTTTCACCTATCTTTTTTTCACAAAATTTCAAGTACAAAGAGAGGTGCGGTGAAAGTGAGAAGACTTCGGAAACACTCATATCAAATGGCGATGGTGACTTCATTGTTGGCTGCCTTGTTCAACGTTTCTGAATCAGCTTTGGCTTCTTCTTCACATCTATCTTGCAAAATCGTATCATATAGTTTCACAAACTCCTGTACGTTAGTCTTCTTATGCAAGTACTTGTCGAAGAAAGCATTAACACTATCAGCTCTTTGAGATGTAGGCATCCCTGCCAAAAGAACATCGGTCATTTTTGTTACTTTGTCCTTGGACTTGGACTCATATTACACCTGTTATTGATTTTCTTGTTTTTTTTCTCATTGAAGAATTGAGACAACAAGGCATGTGTCGTTGATTACTATTACACTTTCAAAGAAGGAGCTCAACACATCCTCCGTTGGGTGAGTTTTGTAGTGCTTGTTGTTCTGGTCCAATTTATTTTGTTCCCTGTTATAACTAAGGCTCTGTCACCCAAGCTCTAGTCTCTCTATAACAATGCTAATAATGTCTTATTAACGGATGTTATAGGTACCAGTGTCCGATCCCAATTGAGATGGTGAAGCCATTAGCTGAGATTGATCACGAAGGACCACCGTCTTCACTTCTATAATAAGCGTTTTCAACGCCCTACCATGTTGTCTTTTATATGTATATAATAATAACCTATCTACCTGTTGTAGAGGGATCACCAAGATATTGCTGTAGAATAATTTCTCTTTGATTTTGTCTTTAGGTTATGTTATATGTTCATTTATTTTATGAATGTTGTCTTTGTGATATCTCAGGTTTGTTTTGTTCCTTCTATAACATTTTCCAAGTTCCAAACTATTCTCAATTATTGTACTAATTCTTTTTTTAAAAAATATATGTTTTAAATGTTATCTTTCAATATGTTTTATTTAATAAATAAATTTTATCTTAAAAGGTTAATTTTTTTTAAGAACTTCAAATTAAGAAACTCCCATTGGACCATTCAAAATAGAAATTTAATAATTAGAATTCTTAACCCCACTTATTATAGTCTGTCTCGCGTATGTAGACTTGTTTATACACATTGTTATGCGTTTTCTTAAATAACATTATAGTTACTTCTTAAAATCATACATAGGAGCACGTGTTACAAGAAGGAGCTAGCCGGTTGTAAATTAGAGACCCCACTGCATTTTTTGATGAGCTAATAAGAATATAAAAATGGTATAAAAATACTTTCCAGCGACAAATATTTTATACATAACTGCCTATTTTGGCCAAGACGCATTTATAGAAAATTTTCCCGACTTAATTTGAATCATCGATACCATATGGAAAAATTCTAGAAACAAGGTAGTTAGGATAGGTATTTATTTGGAAAACTTTCATTTTTTCATCGCCTTCCATCGCAAGTAAATCTCATCATGGACTTGATATATATAAGAACTAAGGACTAAGAGAAATACTCCCATCATGGACTAAGAGGAATACTCCCATCATGGACTTAAGTAACTGAGAAAATGTAAGCCATGACAACTTTGGGTTTGTTTATTTTCATAGCTTCGTTGCTCATTGAAACGACCAAATCTTTCTTTCAGGATCTCAATGGTGATGAGACAGCCGATTGATTCATTTAGAGTCTTCAACATTTTTTTATATGACTCAGTTCACCTCCAATTACTTTGGATCCCTGTTAAATTAATTCCGTTAGAGATTTGACGTTAAACTAATTCAGTTAAGTTAGTTACAACGTTTCCAGACCGAATTTCATACCTAGCAACTGAATGCCAGAGGTTAAACATGGTGAGGTTTCAGCTAAAACAAAATGAATTTGGTTTAACCATACAAAACAAAAGTTAAACCAAGTGAAATTCATATTCAATTTCAGATTATGTTCAATGGTACACAAATTATGTTCAACTAATTATGTTTAGTGTGTATCATTATGTTCAACTAATTTCAGATTATGTTCAACTAATTTCAGATTATGCTCAACTAATTTTAGATTATGTTCAACTAATTATGTTCAATGTGTACCATTATGTTCAACTAATTTCAACTAATTTCAACTATTTATGTTCAACTAATTATGTTCAACTAATTGCAAGTTCTCAGAGGAATTTCAACGAACACTTATGTTCAACAGATGAACATAGAGTAAGTAACTGATAAAGACATAACAATTCAAGTTCTCAGAGGAATTTAATCGAACACTTATGTTCAACTAATTATGTTCAATGTGTACACTTATGTTCAACTAATTTCAGATTATGTTGTACTAATTATGTTCAGATTATGTTCAACTAATTTCAGATTATGTTCAACTAATTTCAGATTATGTTCAATTAATTATGTTCAATGTGTACCATTATGTTCAACTAATTTCAGATTATATTCAACTAATTATGTTCAATGTGTACCATTATGTTCAATGGTACACAAAGACTGTACCATTAAACTAATTTCAGATTATGTTCAATGGTACACAAAGACTGTACCACATTACTCTCTTCAACACATGAACAATCTTCCTTCGAGCTTTCATAATCTTCACCCACAAATCAACCAATCGTTTCCACATTTTTTTGTCTTTTTTTTTCTCTCTCTCCTATTTTTTTTTGTGCGTTGTGTGTTGTGTGCAGAGTATACGTACCTTATAGAGTGTTGTTGCGGTTATCTCACCCTCTCTCCTAAGAAAAATAAAGAATGACATCAACATCATTAACATCATCATCATGATCATCAACATCATCATCATCATCATCATCATCATCATCATCATCATCATACTCAACGGATGCGAACTTATACAAAGGTCTGTGTTGGGAATGTCCTGAAATCATTTGTACTTACTTTAGTAGAAGTCGTAAAATCGGAATTCGACAATCGTATAAAATTAGGTGGTTATAATGTTTTGCTATAAACCGCTTATAATCTATGGATTGAGAATCTATTACTAATTTTATATGATCCTATAAGGTCACACACCTAAGCAAACTGAATTAATATATTGGCGTTATGGGAATAACAATACATATATTATATATGATATAATAATATGTATATGTAATTATATTGTATATCACGTAAAAGATGAGATAGTGATCTCCTTCACGTTATTATTAAATGGGCTTGGCCCAAGTGTCTAATTATTAGAATTAAGTTAAGTGGTTTGTTATAAAACGTAATAACGTTCCTATGACAACGTGATAACCAAAACTCTAACACTAATAAGAGTGTGACAAAAGAGTTTGTCAAGTTTGGAGATTTGATCTTGACGGCACTAGCTTCCCGTATCGATCCAGTTTGTGTGCGTGTGGATATCGGTAGAGGCATAACATTTGGAGTGCTTGAAATCTCGATTTGATTTATTTATCTTTCCGCTGCGAATAACCAGGTATATTCGAAACTCTAAAGATCTATATTTATTTCAGTATTATCATGAGATTCTAGGAATTAAAATTCAGGAAGGTTTTGACTTTTTGAGTTTAACCTCATGTCTAAGAGCGACCGTTGACACGTTTTCTTATAAATAAATAAAAAAACAATAATGCCTACTTAATCGTCTTTTGCAAATCTAACCGAAAACATTCTCCTCTCATTTTAAATTAAACATTTTCCAAAAACCACCATGTGTAATACAAAAATGTGATATAATATATTGTTCTTGAGATATCATTTCAATGCACTGATATCAATTCAAAACGCATTTATCTGGCATGTTATGAATTAAAACGTTACAAGAGATGTCATGTCTCATGGCGTTTTGATGCAATAGATTTTCTAATTCTTCTCTGCATTACTTGTAGCTTGTGATTCTCACTTTTAAGAAAGTGAACTAGGGCCCGAGATTAGTAAGTGAGACCATGCAGAGCTTTGGTTCCCACTCGGACGAGCCTTTCTGACTCTGCTTCTTCCACTCTTCTACTAATCTCTTTTATGGGCGTGCAATTAAGCTACGCCCTTTCAATATATGGGCACCTGGTCCAATAAGGTACATCAGGTATTGGGCCTTTTTTCTAACATCTTGACCTATCAACTGTCTTTTTTGAACAATTGACTCATCCAATTACCCCTAGATTGTGTGATTAAGTTTTTTTTTTTCTAAAAAAGAAGATAAAACAAAAAAAATTGGACACTAATAATATCAACATAACTGCTTCAGTAGACTAACAAAAAAACAAAACGATTGGTGATTAATCTCCCCAAAAAGAAGTCTGATCACATTTAATTACTTGCAGCTTCATCAAGGGCGTAATCAGCGATCACATGTCTCCGCATCACTGCGTCCTCGGTCGCTCTTCACGGTACTAACATGTGACATGCTAACACGAACACCCAAAAACCTATACCAATTAAAAAATACATTATTTCGACCTACCCTATACTAATATAGAGCTAATATAAATAAAAAAAAATATTATTATAAGAGCAGAATCACCCGATGATGCATGAACGAAGGAAGCTCTGAATCTAAAAAACTCCCTCCCACCCTAAAACCTAGATTCTTTCGATCTTCTTCAGCTTTGTTGATCAATCATAAAATCTCTTCCCGGAGAAGAGGAAAAAGCGTTTGATGAGATACGAATAATTTTAAATTTCTAGTGATGAATCAAATCCGTCGATGGCAGAGGATTCTACTCCTCTCCCTGCTATCGATCTCTGTGTTGGCTCCTCTCGTTTTCGTCTCGAATCGGCTCAAAACCATCACTCCCGTTGGTCAGCTTCTTCTCCTTATTTCTGTCTAGATTTACGACTAATGGCTAAAGATGATCATGTGGAATTGCGTAATAGCTTTGATCTTTTTGATTTGAATCTCATGATATTAATCGATATTATTAGCATGTGCCTTGGTTTGTTATCTGAGTTTTTGGTTTGATTTTCATTTCTGATTTGTTTTACTGGACAGGTCGGAGGGAATTTATCGAAGAATTATCCAATTTTGTAAGTGTGAATCTCTTAGTCTTACTTTTTATTATTCACTCTTTATCATGCTGAGATGCTATGATTTGTTTTTGCAGAGATACAAGACTAATGACCTTAGGCTTAACGCTCTCCAACATGTAACTTACTGATTTACTCATTTTCCTCATTTTGACCATTTATTTAATAAACATTGTTTCACTTTTGTGAATTTTAGGAGGATGGAGAAGGCTTGAAGGGGCCAAGGCTCATTCTCTACAAGGATGGGGAGGAGTTTAATTCTTCTGTTAGTGATGAGAAAGAGAAAACTATCGATTTACCAAATATTGATGGTTGGTGGGGTCATTTTTCAACTTATTAAGCTTTTGTTTTTCATTTAACTCTTCAGCTTTCTTATTGGTACTTGTTTATGGCTTTCAGGCGATAATCATAAATACAGGGAAGAGAAAGTAATTGTTTCACAGGAGACGACGCTAAGCTCTGATTCCAAGGTGTGTATTTTAATCCAACTGATTACATTAACTTGATGAATCCTAGAATCTGATTACGGTTCATGTTGCTTAGCTGATCTAGTGAATTGAAAATCCAGGTGTACGCTTTACATCAACCTATTAAGATCAGACGTATTAATGTTAAGATTTTATTGTTTTGTTTTGTGACAGGATCATAGTCAAGCAGTTAACCAACTTGCTAATAAGACGGAATTCAAACCCCCATTATCCAAGAGTGAAAAGAACACAAAGGTTCAGTCAGATAGAGCAACAGATATGAAGATAAAGGAGATTAGAGACAAAATTATACAAGGTAAGGCCTATCTGAATTTTGCCCCGCCTGGAAGTAATTCTCAGATTGTGAAGGAGTTGAGAACTCGGATGAGAGAGCTGGAACGGGCTGTTGGTGATGTGACAAAGGATAAAGAATTGTCAAAGGGGTAAGCACAACTACCTTGATTCAAAAGGAGAATATAAGTTAATAGCATTCAGAGACTTTCTGTAACAATTAGAACCTTTTTATTGGTAACTTAACTTAAAATTGCTATTAAGTTGCTGTTTAAGAAGATTCTTATGTTAACCTCTAGTTTGGTTGTTTCTTTCAGCATGCTTCGTAGGTTGAAGCCCTTGGAAGCTACATTATACAAGGCTAGTCGTGTCTTTAACAATTGCCCTGTCATTGCTAACAAACTCCGTGCCATGAATTATAACACAGAAGAACTAGTTCAGGCGCAGAAAAACCAAGCAGCATATCTAATGCGCCTTGCTGCAAGGACCACCCCAAAAGGGCAACACTGTCTCTCCATGCGGTTGACATCGGAGTACTTTGCCCTGGATCCTGAAAAAAGGCAGATGCCTAACCAGGAAAAGTACAATGATCCTAGTCTCAATCATTATGTTGTCTTCTCTGACAATGTTTTGGCTTCTGCAGTCGTTGTTAACTCTACAATATCTTCTTCAAAGGTAATTTTTTTTTACATTTCCTTATGTTTTGTTGACAATAATCTGCTGATGTTTTCTAAATTTCTACTCGGATATCATTGTATGTTATGTTTCAAATGCCTTGCACTATATAGTCTCATTTGTGTAAGCCACTTGTTAATCTGAGTTCCTAATGTTATTTGCAGGAACCAGAAAAAATAGTATTCCATGTCGTGACTGATTCACTTAATTACCCAGCAATCTCAATGTGGTTTTTGCTAAACATCCAAAGTGTAGCTGCTATCCAAATCCAAAACATTGAAGATATGGATGTCCTGCCTTCAGATTATGATCAGTTGCTGATGAAGCAAAACTCCAATGACCCAAGATTCATCTCTACCCTCAATCACGCACGCTTCTATCTCCCCGATATATTTCCGGGTTTAAACAAGATGGTACTCTTTGACCATGATGTAGTAGTTCAACGAGATTTAAGTAGACTATGGAGCATTGATATGAAAGGGAAGGTGGTTGGTGCTGTAGAGACTTGTAAAGAAGGTGAACCTTCATTCCATTCAATGAGCACATTTATTAATTTCTCAGACGCATGGGTCTCTGGGAAATTCAGTCCTAAAGCTTGCACGTGGGCGTTTGGGATGAATCTAATTGATCTCGAAGAATGGAGAAGACGGAAGTTGACTTCTACATACATAAAATACTTCAACCTGGTACGCAGCTTACCTCTCTACTGCACTTACTCTCCTTAGAATTCGCCTCTTCAAAGCTTTTCCATGTGGTTCAACGATTCATTTATACACTATTCTATCTGAAAAAGGTTCTGGTAATAATAACTAATTGGATTTTAGTTTTGTCTGTGTTGGGGAGGAAAAAATTTGAACTTATACTAATATTCAGAGTAAATGGCTGTGTGACTAGCAAACGAACATAAGTGAAGCTAGTATACTTCCTAGAGAAAGAGTGGTTGCAAGCAGCAACGTTTCTGTTTTTCTATGTACATACACATGTTATATGTGTCAACCCTTAACCTAACAGTCGTTTTTGGATATTTCTTTTCTGGCAGGGATTAAAGAGACCTTTGTGGAAAGCTGGAAGCTTACCAATAGGTTGGTTGACTTTCTATAAGCAAACAATACCGTTGAACAAGGGATGGCATGTGATGGGGTTAGGTCGTGAATCAGGCATCAAAACAGCTGACATTGAACAAGCCGCGGTTATACACTACGATGGGATCATGAAGCCGTGGTTGGACATTGGAATAGATAAATACAAACGTTACTGGAACATGCATGTTCCTTACTATCACTCCTACTTGCAACAGTGCAACCTTCACGCTTGACACTGAAAAACAACAACATAGGTTCAGTTCTAGATTCTTTCTTTATTATTCTTTTTTTTTTTGTTAAAAGAAGCTTATGAGCATGTTATGAATGGTATGATTAGCTTCATTCTTTTACTCTTCTGAGTGTAAATCTTGGATTTTCATTTTTTCGGAGCTTGCTTAATCTTACACTTGGCCACATCGAGATAGTATATACATAATAATGGTTCTGATCTCTTCGTTTGTAAACGCTCGAAACTTTAAAAGACGAGAAGTCACCGAACACTATTCATGTGCTATGTAGAAGTTTGGTCAAAAAAATTGTCGGAACTCTTGTGTGAGGAGGCAAAGATTGTGTGGTAGGAAGCTGATGAAACGTGACAGGTGGAAAGAAACAATTGGTCAGAGTCTGGATAGAATGCAGATCTAGTTCCAGATTAAAAGCTTTTTCCATCACTTGATAAAGCTACAACCTACAACTACCAAACCAAACGCAAAACAGAGGCTCATTTGATCAAGTCTTGCGAGTTTGGGAAAGCAAAAGACAATGGCAAGCTTCACTTCCTCCGTTACTTGTCCTACTCTTCTTCTCAAGCCTTCAGTCACAGCTATTTCCACCGAGTCTGTATATGGTAAACCTCTGTTTGCGAAGTTATGTCTCTTCTTCTACTTATGAATCTGAGTTGGCACTTGTGTTAAATTTATGTTTTGCTTCTGTTTAGGTCTTCCAAGGATGGTCAAGAGAAGCAGTGGAGTGAAATGCTCGATGGAGACAAAGCAGCCGAAGCAAGAGAAGAGCTCAAAGGCAGGCTCGTCTGCTATGGCGGTTATGTTAACAGCGGTGATGAGTAGTAGCCCAGCAATGGCTTTAGTGGACGAGAGGATGTCAACGGAAGGAACAGGACTACCTTTTGGTCTGAGCAATAACCTCTTAGGGTGGATTCTGTTGGGCGTGTTTGGTTTGATATGGGCTATTTACTTTAACTACACTTCTTCTCTCGATGAGGATGATGATTCTGGACTTTCCCTCTGAAAATTTCCACTCTCTCTATCTCCTCTCTCCTTTTCCAGTGAACAAAAAACTCTGTATCTTCTTGTTCACCAGTTTGAAGTAAAGACGTGAGAGACTTTACCCTGTTTAAATTTGTTACCGTTTGTGAGTTTAATATACTTATTGGGCTAACAGAAAAGCCCATTAAATTTTCCTAGTGAGTCTTGTGACCAGCATCAAGAGCGAGACCTGAGCCAAACTTCTATCTTAACTAAAAAACCTCTTCAAATGACTGTTTATTGTATTGTACATAGGAGTTGGGAAGGCCTATCCTTGTAGTAATATATATAAAAAGCAGCGATACATATTAGAAAGATTTGTTTCACAGAGAGAAGAAAAAAACATATTAGAAAGATTAAAAAAGAGAGGTTGATTTAATTTACAAAGAGTTATGAAGAAGGGTGATCATGGAGTTGGGTGAGAAGATGAAGAATGTCAGGAGCATGGTGATCCTCTGCACGGATGCGATCCGGTTGAATCCAACGACCATCAGTGTTCCGAACCATTCCTTTGTTCGCATCTTGGCGCCAATAGGGAGGTACCATAAAATGGTCTTTCAGAAAATCAGACGCTTTGTTCACTAAAGCTGGATCTCTTCCACTTGATAATACGAATCTCTGACCTTTCCCATGATACCTGTTACATAATTATACTCTCAGAATGACTTTCTCCTCCATGTTCAAAGAGAAATGTTTAAATATGTATTAAATTTTGGAAAAAATCATCAGTACTATCGTTTTCAGATTCGTCAAGTCAATAATCAATATTTTATGAGCTAAGTTACGTATACGACAAATGGAGAATGATCTAGAAATAGCAAATATAGTTTGAAAGATAAGAATATGGCCCAACTTGATTAAACTATTAATTATTACTTCCAATAATTCTCTGCCCACCCACAATTTCTGCCACGTTAATCAAACTGAATGATCACATTCGCATAATCCCGCATTTTGTGATATAGTAATATCCCTTAAGATCATGTATTATTAATAATGAAAGTGCTTGGAAATGTGAGATTTCATCAAATCTTAAGATACCCCGAGATTTGTCTCCTCAAGAAGTCTTTGACTTTTACCCTAACGATTAGCTGACAAGTTTGTGTTCATACGTTATTGTATACTCATTAAATATGTCTAAACTAATAATTAATCCGTTTAATCTCTACTCTAACCAAAAATATTGAGTGAAATTTGAAATAAAAATGAATGTAAATAGTTAAATTACTGACCCGTCAAGGAGATGGAGAAGAGCTTCCAAGTTATGAGCCGTAGAAAGATCAACGGACGGCTTCAAAAACGGGGAGTTCTGATGATCCAACGCTAGCTTCTCTCCCACGTGGCAGTAACACCAAGGCAACCCTCCCGCCAACTGCTTAAGCGCGTCCGGCGCGTGCTCATTCAAAAACAGTCCCGGCGATTTCGGAACGACGTCGTGTTTGTTAACAACCCTCAACACCTTAACTCCCAACTCCTCCATCCTCTCCTTAAACCGAATATTCCCAACACGTGGCGCACCGTAAGTAAACACCGTCACCGGAACAACCTTCCCTCTCTTCGTCCTATTCAACCCCATCTCCGCCACGTCATACGCGCTCAGCACCGCCAACGCACCGCCGAGACTGTGCCCCGTCACCGTGATACTCAGATCATCTCCCTCCTCGTCGCCGTATCTCTCCACCAGCCGCTTCACCTCCGTCAAAACCTGCTCCCTCGCCGAGAATTTCGAGAAGTTGCACGACGTGTCTTTGTCCGTGTAGAGATCGAGAAACCCGGACTCGGCTTTAACGGCCGGGTCACGGCACCGGAATCCGTTACCGGAAACCGGTTTGAGAAAGTCCTTGAGATCAGCGATCCACTCGAGCTGCGTGACGGTTCCTCTCCACGCGATGGCGATGTCTCGGCGTCCGAGACGGAGGCGCGTGGCGTCGCTATCGTCGGAGACGGCGACGTATCCCATCCAGTTCGCGTTCTTGCTCCACACCTTGGACCATCTCGATTTGGAGAAGAAGTTAGGGAGGTTGATGTTGGAAGTCGCGTAGAGGTAACGCGCCACCTCGTATCCTGAATCGTGTATCCCAAGCGAGTCGAAGAGCTTGTGGCGCGTAAATCTACAGCTTCCGCAGTATCGTGAAAACGGATCGAAATCGAAAGCGTCGTAACAGGCTTGGGCCATTTCTCCGTAACGGATTAGCTCTGATCTTAGAACTGGGTCCATCGGGTCCATTAGTCCGGCCCAATCATCTTCCCCTTGTATCTTCCTCCACGTGTCTTTTAAACTCTTTGATTCTTTAGCTTCTCTGTCTCGTCGGCGAACATCCTCAGCCGCTGTGATCCCGTAATTCTCCAGCGGCTCGAGCCTTGAGGATACTGAAGCTCCGTCGGTTGTGGAGACAGCCCTCGTGGGAGATGATCTCGCCGTGAATTTGAGAAGAGAAGAGTGTGGTTTGAAGGAAAGAGAGTGAGCTGATTGGTTGATCGGTTTAGGGAGAAGAAGGTTGTGGGAGGGAATGGTCGCCATTTTTTTTGAGAGAGCTTTGATGAGTTGTTTCGTGGTCGAATGAGATTATTGCACCCTTTTATTATATATACTTATCAACGTACAATAAACTATATTAAAGTCATGCGCTCATGCTGCTTGCATATCATTTTCAAATGTAGGGTTTTATACAATTATATATGTTGAACTTAAGATACAATAATTTACAATTTCAATAATGTAAAGGTCCATTCATTATTCAACACCGATCTCTTCAGTATTCTCTCTTTCTTTTTCCACATTCCAATGCATTCTTATCGCCATGACATAATAAAACTAGCATTTACTTTAAAATAGACTTCCCGATCTTTCTTACATGGTTTCACGATTAACGGAAGTAATATTACATAACATCACTTGCACTAGTAATGCTAAATATACTTCCCAAAAGACCAATTATACGAGAAGTTCCAGTTGGAAGAGACTAGAGAGGCTTGTTTGACAGAGATACATGACCCACTTGGCTAATAGATGCCATCTGTAATGAGAATCTATATCTTATTTGATTTCAGTGAATTTAGTAATATATATATTATACTACTAATATGTATTTGTTTAATGTCTAAACAAAAATGTATTTGTTTAATGAAAGTCTCTATACGAATAGTTGACTGGACCATAACATCATATTAATGTAGCATGTTCTCGAATGATATACGTGTTACGTGTACAGGTGTAAACTGAACTTGGTTTTTTTTTTTTTTTTTTGCATATTCCACATTCCACACGTTTTGAAACGTGTTGATCTTGTTAGAAATTTGAATACTGTGTTGAAAAGACTAAAAAATGATCGAATTAGTAGAGAATTATCGAGTTTTCAATTTTACAATATTAAATAAAAAAGCTTCAGTAGATAAGTTGGCTAGAGAGTGTGGCTGTTAACCTTGTCGGAAGCGCAGTTTCATTTTAATTTAACAATAAAAAGGGTAAAGATAAGATAAGACCAAACATGGGGTCATAATCTCCACTTTTTTCAAACTAAAAGCACTAAAGCAGCCATCATATAATTGTGAACACTTCCTTTGATTCTCATTAGCTTTCTACCCATTTATCATGCTGGTGTTCTGACTTCCCAAGCCAAGTAAACCAAGAAGGCCAGCATCAAAGTACCTGTGATTTTCTCTCAAACCCCCACATATCAAAGGGTGAAAAAATGACTGATTCTTCTGCTCATACCAATCAACAAGTCTATACTACAAATTTTAAAAGCATGGGTTTATGGATACCGAAATGGGTAATATGTATGGGCTTTTGTCTTAAGACCTAACCAAGTCCAAACAGCTATGTAAAGGAGAGTTGAATGCAAGTGGGTCTTTTTTGTTTGCAGTTTGGTCTACCAAAACTCCAATGTCCTGTAGAATAAATCATATGGTCCAAAAGCTTCAAGCATCAAAATCAGTATTCGACGACAACGGCTCTCTTTTTTAGCAACTTGTACAAGTATCGTTGAAATCGTATCTTTGAATCTGTAAAGATAACTCATAGAAAGACCCAGTTTATCAATTATGCAATTCTTCTTGGTCCTAAAACAAAATAAAAAAGGTGAAACGCCAAAGAAAAGGTTCGGTCCTCCTCTAATCATCTTTGTTCATAGTAAAAGCCGCTTTATGGAACCTTTTCCACACCATCTTCTTGTGATCTGTTTCACTATTTGTGGATTCTGATTCTTCCTCTGCCTTCAGTCTTCTTATAAATAGCCTGCGACTCAAGCAACTAGAGCCACAAGCAAAAACCAAACTCCAACTCTCGGTTTGGTTTTCTTCATTTCCTTGAAAACAGCAAAGCTCTTTTAAGTAAAACCAAGAAAAAAATGGACAAGGTTATGAGAATGTCATCCGAAAAAGGAGTGGTTATATTCAGCAAAAGCTCGTGTTGCTTGTCCTACGCGGTTCAAGTCCTCTTCCAAGATCTTGGAGTTAGCCCTAAGATCCACGAGATCGACAAGGACCCTGAATGCCGAGAGATAGAGAAGGCACTGATGAGGCTGGGATGTTCACAGCCAGTTCCAGCCGTCTTTATTGGTGGTAAGCTCGTTGGTTCCACCAACGAAGTAATGTCCATGCACCTAAGCAGCTCCTTGGTTCCCTTAGTTAAGCCATATCTATGTTAAAAAGAAAAAGTTGGAAATGTATTTCAATAAAGAAAAAAGTTTGAGCCAAATCTTTGTAATTTGTTTTAGTAAATTATATTGGTTGTGTAACCTTACTAGTTATATATAAATGTCTTTTCGTCCAAAAACAAGAAAATGGGAAGACGCTAAACGCTCTTGATTTGAAACCTGCCACTCAGCTAAGCTGTGCACGTTCACATGATTCTTAGGCCGTCTTTATCGCTAAACCCCTCTATTTGAGTTCTTATTTTTTTATTTTTATTTTTTTGAAATCTTTTTTCTAAAAGAAATATTAAAATAGAATTAATCACAGATTAGTGGGACTTGCGAACAGTTGAAAAAACCCACTAAAGACAGCTCTTGTTTGGCACCCTTTGGCTCTGTTTTTAAGCTTGGTGTGGGGTCTTCACCCCTTTAAAACTCGCGTGGAGCTCACGATAATGGTGGTCTTATGGTCTCCGAGATTAGTCGGGTTTTCGGATTCGGCCGACCCGGGTTACAAAAAATAGTGTTAGGGAAAGTAACTAGATGCATTCTAGATTAGTAAGCAAATGATCCAAACCAAACACACAGAAGCAGAACTACATAACCAGAATTGACAACATAGTTCACAAGGGCCAAGACTATCTGCAACATCTACCAACAACTCTTACATGGATTACACTACCTTCTTTCTGTACAAAGTACAAAGAAAGAAACAATCAAACAAAGAGTGTGTGTGGTGGTATATGGTTCAAAGAAAGTAGCTATCTAGGTGTAACAGAGGGAACTATTCCACTGACAAGATCAGAGCCAGAGACATCCATCGATGTATAAGGATGTTGATTCTTCAAGAACGAGGAGTTTGATGAAGATGATGGCTGACTCGTTGTCTCAGACATATCCTCTCTTTTAGCTGTCTTAGACTCCGGCATTAGTTCCCATATGATTTCAAGTTCTCTCACAACTTCCGCCATTGAAGGCCTTGAATCAGTCTCTTCTCTGCAGCATCTCAAAGCTAACGTTGCAAACTTTTCAATGCATTCATCTGGAACTGAGCTCATTCTCTTGTCCACGACCGATGATATCGTACCAGACTGGTATGCTATGTTGGTCTGTCGAGAAAGAAAAAACATTCTAAAACGGTTATACATAGATGTCAAGAAGGAGATTAAGGTTTTCACATCTAAATTAGAATTACCTCACGAACTATGTTCTTGCCATGTGTGATTGGATGCATTCCTGTCAAAAGCTCTAGGAACACTACGCCTAGACTATATACATCGCTTTTGTCAGTCAATTGATGCGTCAAGAAATATTCAGGGTCAAGGTAACCCTGCAAGACAACAAGTAAAAAGTCTCAGTCATGAGCAATGTTCAAGAAATCGCTAGACGGTTGTTAAGTGCTTATAGAAGATTAATTTTTAAGCAGACGGCTAGACTGATCTTTTTAACACAAAAATGCTTTAAAAAATCGTTTTGTTTAGAACACTGATCATGAGTTTGAGAAGCAAATCTACAGCAGCAATGCAGGATAGAGATCTTACCGGAGTTCCTTTTACAACAGTAGAAACATGATGAGGTGAGATGCCTTCCATATCAGGCACTGGAGCGAGTCTTGAGAGTCCAAAATCTGCAACTTTTGCAATGAATCTTGAGTCCAACAAAATGTTACTAGCTTTGATATCTCGATGGAATATTGGTGGATTAGCTTCTGTGTGTAAGTAGAGTATTCCCTTTGCTGAGCCTATAGCAATCCGCATTCTCATCGCAAAGTCCAAAGGCTTCTCTAACTTAACTGTCATACCACAAATTTTGATTCAGTGTTATGATCTACAAGGAACAGAACCACAAAGATAAATGACTTGTTGACAAAGGAAAGACATACCAGAAATGTTGTCTCGCAAAGTACCATTTTCCATATACTCATAAACAAGCATCTGCACATTTGATAACACAAGCAATAAGAGAAACATTAAAAGGCTTTGGACCATAAGCAGAAGAGGGTTTTGAATAAAAAGTACCTGTTCGCCTTCTTCATCACAAAATCCAACCAAAGCAACAAGGTTTCTGTGATGTAATCTCGACAACAATTCAATCTCAGTTAAGAACTCCTTCTCACCCTGCAATGATCCCTCTTGTGCTCTTTTGATTGCCACAGTTGTTCCATCGCCAAGGAGACCTTTGTAGACTTTTCCATAACCACCTTGCCCAATTTGAGTGGAACTGCTAAAATTGTCTGTAGCCAGAGCAAGCTCAGCATATGTGAAGCTCTTTACTCCTTCTATCTTCAAAGAAGCCTTGGAAGCTGCATATGGATGAATCAAAAAAAACAAATCCAAACAAAAAAAGAATCTATTCTGAACACAAATCAGCATCCCTTACATCGCTTTCTCCTAGAAACTGCAGCGTATCCTTTCATACGTTTCCTCATAATGATAAGGGCAATAATAGCAGTTATTGTAACTGCAGCTGCAACTGAACCAAGAACTATACCCGCTATTGCACCCTTACTTACACCAGATGGCGAATCTTGAGGAAACACTGCAAAACAATAAGTAGATTACAGGACCATTTACTTGTACTTTCAACTAAGTTTTCTTTTCAAAGAAAAAAAAACATTAGAAGACGAATATACTGCTACTAACCATCTCTGTAGACATCTAACAATGTGAAATTCATAAGCTCATAAGGACCAAACAGATCTTCGTCTGGGATGTTCCATCCAGTGAACATGCCCCTTATCCTCCGAACCTCGCTCCGGTTGAATATGAAAGAGTTGTTGGCATTTGAACCATAAACAGGAAAGAATTTGAGATACATTCTAAGTCTAGGTCCTTTTTGCCAACGGAATGAGTCAATACGTAGCTGATACAGATTCAATTTAAGACCAGAGGTGATGTATTGCTGAAACTCGGATACGTAAGGAACAAAATCAGAGAAACCAGGACTTTTCAACCGATATCCAACAAGGAGAGGAGCAGCACAGAAGCAACGTCTAAGAGGTTCTGGAGAAAACTCATAAGGAGGTGGGCAGTCAGAACAAGTTGTGTTAGGAATGGTTGGACCCTGATTATTGTCTTGTTCGGTTAGAGATCCACATAACTGAAGCAGATTTCCATTTGAGCATAACGGATTCCCCTGAAGCCTGATAAACAAAAGCGAAGATGTCAATTAGATATAGGAAAAGTGGAGACACTTAATCTTATGGAAAGAATGTAACACATTTCAGAATGAGCAAACAAGATCAAAAAGCTGTTATATACATCATTAAGTAGTTATAGTGATATACAAAGCATCATTAAGTAGCTAGAGTGATTTGCCGCATAGGCACCGTCTAAACCAGTTTTAAGAACACGCATGTATGGGATCTAAAAGGGGGAAATAGGAAAGTGCAGAAGCTAACCAGACTGTCACATTTGGGCGGGGATCAGATCTGCCAGTAATATTTGAAAACCTATTGTTCCGTAGATCTCTGAAAAAAACATAAAGGAACTATCAGTTGTCAAAAGATAATATGAAGAAAGTTGGCACATTTCTGTAGGTCAAAGAAAAGGAGATATGATTGTGTGTCATACACGATAAGAGTCTCGGTTGAGTTCAACACTCTGTCCTGGTATATACTAGAGGGAATGGAACCACTCAGAGCATTGTTTGCAACCGACCTGCCACATTAGATAGACAACCAAAACAAACCATTAGCTATCTTCATGTCCAAAAAAAAAGATTGAACTAACAGCAGCATCTCAGAAACGGCACACTTACAACTTTTGAAGCCGTGGAAGGCCTGAGAAATTTGTTGGAATGGTTCCAGTAAAACTGTTGTTGGACAGATCGCTGCAGTAATTTTCATCACAAGATATCCAAATTTAAAAGCAATCCATTTCTAACAAAAGATTAAGAATACTAATCATAGTACATAGCTCGGAATAAATCAAAATCTAGAATCATGAAAGCTGCTAAGAATTTTACATGGTTGTGATGCTATCAGAAAGCTTCCCTGTAGGTATAGATCCATTCAACTGATTTCGACTTAGGTCCCTGGGAACAATCATGAAACAAAATTATATTAACACGCCAAGGCAGCTGCAGGATTATCTTTAGGAAGCGGTTAGACAAGTCACACAACTTACAGATAACCAAGTTTTGGGATAGTGCTAAGATCAGGCATTGGCCCTTGCAAGCTGCAGTTCCTAAGACTCCTGCCCATGACATTTTTTAAAATATGTGCAGGTTAGCTTAGTAAACGCATATATCTATGTGCAGGTTAGCTCAGTGACTTTGATTTAGATACATTGTGAAACTAGCACTTACATCTTTAAAAGCTTAGACATGTTTCCGTAAGAGGGTGGAATCGTGGTCCCATCAAAATGATTGTTATCTAATTGTCTGCCAGAAAGAAACACGAGAAAAAGGTCAAGAAGGGAAGAATTAATGCATTGACCACCACTGGTATTGGTGACATGACGATGAAAATCAAGAGAAACTGTGACATAAACTTACAGGATAAGCAGATTTGGCATTTGTGATAACTCAGGAGGAAGATAGCCAGATAAGTTGTTGTTGTCAAGCAGGCTGCAAGGAGAGCAATAAATGTTCATCAAGATTAGATAGGTAAAGCATGTGTGGCATGCTGTTGACATAAAAGCTGAATTTAGATAAAAACAGAATACTTTTAAAATGAGATTCAAATTAGCCTACGACCAACACTCACATGTGAACAATTGATGGTAGGCTTCCAAGCTCTGGAGGAATCTGTCCACTAATTGAATTATTGTTCATGTGACTGCAAAAAGAAGATAAGATAGAGTCAAAGAATGTAATGAGTGTAACATACTCAAGAAGTGAATGAATCATTACAAGCAAAACAGCTATGTAGTACAACATGACATAAGATTAAAAGAACTCACAAGTGCTTAGTCTTGGTTAAATTCCCAAAAGATTTGGGGAGTGGTCCTGTTATACGGTTTTCATCAATCTGTATTCTATCCAAGTTTGGAAGATAGCCAAGCTCCTCTGGTAAGTTTCCGGTTAGTTGATTCCCATTCAATAGCCTGGAAGAGTGCAGTGACACATTGAGCCAAATAAAGGCAAGCAAAGACAAACAGATAAAGGCATAATAAGAATCAAACTTCTGAACTTACAAGAGTTCCAAAGACTTGATATTCCCAATTTCCTTTGGTATACTTCCGGTTATCTTGTTCCACATGAAGTCCCTAGCATAAGATAAGAGGTAATACAATACACAAAGAAAGTTAGTAACTCAGTGACTAACCATTACAGGTAAAAAAGATGAAGCTAATTATACAAGATAGTAAGACGAGTCAAGCGTCCAAGATCCGGTGACAAGGTCCCTGAGAGATTCATACTGAGCAATTGCCTTCAAGTAAAACAAAAAGAAAGAAACTTTACAAACAATACCCCAAGTAAGATAATTGTTTAAAGTATCAAAAAAAAAAAAGCAGTAACAGTGAAGGAGAGACGATACAGTTCTTTGACATGATAATAACCATCATCATGAGTGAAATTAAAGCAGAGAACACCAGTCCAATTCGAATTGCACGGATCTCCACGTCCCCAATTGCTCAATCTACGAGCTGGATCGTCTAAACTATCCTTTATAGCTCCCAAAGCCCTCACTGAACCCAAAAATATCAAACCATCAAATCCAAAAGCAACGAAAACCCATTGAACTGCTCGAAAATCTAAACCGAATAGAAGGTGAAAGTAACAACCTTCGACGGGATTGGTGATACCGTCTTGAGCAAAAACAGAGGAGCAGAAACAGAGGAATAGTATAAACAGAGGAAGGATACGTGAAGAACACATATCGAGAGGAGAAGAAGTGACAGAGACCCAATAGACAGATAGAGAGACAGATAGAGAGAGAGAGTTAAAAGGGAAAGAACATGATCAGGTAGTGGATAGAAGACACTGAAACAGAGGAGAGATTGAGAAGACAAAGTAAAGGAAAAGTGGTTGGGGTTTTGTTGAAAGCATTGAAGAAAGAGTAATGAAACGGACATTTTCTTAGGTTTATTTTGACCATATCAAACCATGGAGGAGAGCGTCGAGGCGTCATCAATAGTTTTCACCTTCGCCGCCACCATTACTATACGCCAGCCACTTTCTTCTTCAGTCAAAACCGTAAAGGTTCCACTTTTATTCATTTTAAAAATGATTGCGTTTTGTGACCTGTCTTTTGACCTTTCTGTTTTTATTTCTTTTCAAATTTCAGTAATGACAGTAGGTAGATTAGATTAGTATGTATAACGTGCAAGTGCGATGAATTTACAATTTTATTTTATACTAATTAAATACACTAACCTGTTTGAATCTTCCACGATCAAAGAAGTATAGTTTTGTATTAGAAAGTATCCCAGTGGCAAATAGTTAGTAAGAAACAAAATAAATCATTTTGTTATGTATATGGACTTTTGTTGATATGTCGATGTCTATGTGCATTTTGTACCCTACGAAACTAATAAAAGTCACAATTTTATTGGAACACTATCTAATTTACTAATTTAGTGTTGAACTGTTGATTGCGACCGACTATCTAGAATGCGATTGAATTGTTATAGTCACTATATTTATGTAGAATATGTAGTATGGTCATGATTCCAGTACACAAGAAAATAAGAAGAGCGTATTGATTGTTCATACTGAACTATTATGGATAGATAACTTTCCTAACCAAATAGATTTGTCTTGAAAATATAATCTTACAATGGAAACCTACTGCCATTACTTAAAGCTTATCTCTAGATTGAAAAAGTCATGTAAATATATTTAGGTAGAACACTGCAAAAAAACAAAAAAAAAGGAAAAGAAACTTTAGCTGGTATAAGTAATTGCATTATTAGTCTTCTTAATTGCCAGTGGGTCGATGTTTTAAAATGCTACCGGTCCACTTCTGGCGCTTAATTAAAGACTTAAGAGGCATAAGTATAACTAAAACTGTTAATATGAAAAAATAGAGGAGATATCTCTTCTTTTTACTTTGTGACCAGAGCAATATGAAGGGGTACCAAATGACCTATTGAAGAACTCAGATTATTATAGAACAAAATTTAATCTCAATCGCGCCAGGTAGGGGTCGAACCTACGGCCTTCTGCTTAGGAAACAGACGCTCTATCCACTGAGCTACAGGCGCAACACTCACTGACTTGTTAGATGAATCCAATTTGTCATTTATATAACAATAATAACCTTGTCCCATTATAAAACGTTGTACGGCAAAGAGCAAGTGAATAGATAACTGATTACCTACGTTTTATAGATGCATTCCCTTTTTCAAAGATGAATTTGAAAAACTTATATACATATAACTATAGTCTATAAAACATATAATTGATTACAGGCGTTTTGCCTTGGCCACAGCTATATGAGTTTAGGGCCTTTGTTGCAGGCCGATTCGGATACCAGGGTGTGCACTGACCTTTTACCTTATCGTAATGGTAGTTGGCCTTGGGGCCCCTCAGGCTTGTAATGGTTTTCCCTCCATTTTTTTAATCCGCCAAAGTGATATGTAAATCTTTAGTCTTTTTATAATCTAATCACAAAATTTGACTCAGACGTGGAGAGCTGTTACCCAATAGTTGTTAGAACGTTGTAGAAGCAACCACAAACACTTGCAATCAAGGTCTTTAATTAAGGATTAATTACTTCGAAGAACAAAAAAAAAAAAAAGAGAAGGAGACAAGATGATGCGATACTTCACGTGGACACGTGCCCATTTTTACTTTTCATAACTAATTTTGTAAGAACAAAGTAAAAGAGTGTTTTTATTACCCAGACCAAACTCAAAAAAAGACAATTTATAGTTACTGACATCACTTCTCTACTTCGGAGAGAAAAAGCTTTCATCATTCATCATTCGTTTTCCTTTGCATCATTCTCTCTTCAGATTCAAATCAACCCGATGGAGAATTCGGATCCTCCACAGACTCCAAATCCCAACCACATTCCCTCTTCATTCCACCGCCGATCTCGCTCCGACGATATGTCAATGTTCATGTTCATGGATCCGCTCATCTCCTCCTCCTCCTCCGCCGCACCACCACCACCTCCCTCCTCCGACGACCTTCCCTCTGACGACGATCTCTTCTCCTCATTCATCAACGTCGATAGCCTCTCCTCAAATCCGCATCCCTCCTTGTCCTCCTCAAACTCTGTTTCCGTCGCCAATCCTGCTCCAACGACCTCTCGTCCTCGTCACCGTCACAGCAATTCCGTTGACGCTGGATGCGCAATGTACGCTAGTGATGAGATCATGGACGCAAATAAAGCAATGCCTCCTGAAAAGCTCTCCGAGCTGTGGAACATCGATCCTAAACGCGCCAAAAGGTCTCTTCCTCTTTTTATTTTATTTTATTGAATCTTTAATGATTAGAGATTGTGATTGGTTTGCAGGATCTTAGCGAATAGGCAATCAGCAGCACGTTCAAAGGAAAGGAAAGCAAGGTACATTCAAGAACTTGAACGTAAAGTTCAATCTCTTCAAACTGAAGCCACCACTCTCTCAGCTCAGCTCACTCTCTTCCAGGTTTCTTTTTCTTTCTCTTCCAACATAATAAAGTTAAACACCTTTGCTCTGTTCTACACAAATCAACTATGCTTGGGTGAACTCCAACAATGTTTGTTTGGATTTGATCAGAGAGACACAAATGGACTGGCAAATGAGAACACAGAGCTAAGACTTAGGTTACAAGCAATGGAACAACAAGCTCAACTTCGTAATGGTAAAACAGTTACTCCTTTTCTTAACATATGATGTTTTAGGTTTAGTACATAATATTTAAGAAATTTACATTTCTCTAAAAATATATTTAAATATATAATTTTAAAATCATTAAACCAATTATAAAAAAATATTTAAATTTTTTATTGGTTAAACAGTTTCTAATAAAATTAAAGCTAACCTTAAAATCGCAAAACATACCTTAAAATTCAAAACATCTTTTATTAAGAAACAAAATAAACCTTCTAAAATATTATTCCTTCTATTTCAAATTATATGTCATTCTAGAGTAAAATTTTCATTTCAAAATAAGTGTCGTTTTATAATTTCAATGCAAAATTTATTGATTTTAAATGTCATTCTATTTTTTTTATTGAAAAGTGGTTAGGTGAATAGATAATTGTGTTTTTATTTTTAAAATATGTAAAATTAATTATTTTTTTAATCTATGTGCAAAAGTCTAGAATGACAACTAAAATGAAACGAATGAGGTATAACTCTTTGTATTCATTTTGGTGTATATGATCTTCAATTGTTGCTTTTGTTGTATTTTTTGTTGTGTGAATGTAAAACAGCTTTAAACGAGGAATTGAGGAAAGAAGTGGAAAGGATGAAGATGGAAACTGGAGAAATATCGGGTAATTCAGAATCGTTTGATATGAGAATGCAGCAGATTCAGTATTCTCCTTCAACCTTCATGGCGATTCCACCATATCATCATCATGGCTCAAATAACGGCCAGCAGATGCATGGATTGAATCAAAACCATCTAATGGATAAGTCGAATTATCAGAGTGTGTCAGAGTTTATAAAGAACGGACGGTTGCGAGGGCTAGAGATAAGTAGCAACAACAATATTTCAAGCATAGTTAAATCTGAAGGACCTTCTCTCTCTGCTAGTGAGAGTAGCTCTGCTTATTGACAAACAAACACCATGAAGATTACATCTGTTTATAGGGCTTTATAAATTCCTTTGATTTGATTTGATCCTTTTTTTTTTTGAGGGGCCAATACCAGAAGTATAAAAGGTTTTACGTTGTTTGTTGGTGATTGTGAGTGTCATTGTTTGTTCTGCAAGGAACAAAAATATATTCTTAAAATTTTATTTTCTCTTTGGAAACAGTGATGTATTTTCATCTTCTTTTGTTTTTATCTAGATACATTCATTTAGACTTGATAACTTAACCTGTTTCTGAATTATGATTTTGAGATTTGAGTAGCTAAATGTGCATGATTTTTTTATGAACTGGAAAACGAAGGGAAAAAAAATAGAGCTCAGGATTGTGGCTGTACAATCTGAATGACAGATGAATGCGATGGACCCAACCAACGCTATACCGATTTCTTCATAGCTCAGGGATGCACCAGCCGGGAATCGAACCCGGGTCTGTACCGTGGCAGGGTACTATTCTACCACTAGACCACTGGTGCTTTGATGTTATAGACAATTAGTGTTAACGTATTATAACAAAATGGATATGAGAAACTTATTTTGCGTTTACTGTCATCGAGTCATTTGTAAACTGGTAAGAAAAGGAAGTTTCTGATATTCAATGTAAATGTACAGCGAGGATTAATGAAGTAGTGAAGATGGTAAAAAATTTACATAAACCCAATTCATCTGGCACGATACTTCTACGTCTTTGGGTTTAATATTTAGGCCCATTGGCCAATCCATCACCAAAATACAAATATCAAAGGGGAGTAATCTTGTAATACATTTGTTTGCCTTTCTCCATCTTTTGTCAACTATCTAAGATGTCATGGCCCAGTCATTTCATAGGCGTGTTGAGAAAGCTCGTACAAAAATCTGGCATCATGAGATGATGTATTATTATATGATACGTTCGTAGAAACTCGTTTGCGATAATTTGACAATAGACAAAAGAACTAACTAAAAACAAAGGGAAGACGACCTATTTCCACGTCTAAACTATCATATAATAATAAATGTACACTCTTTAAACCTCGACCTAATTGCATACCACTTAAGTTTAACAACATGTTTCCACATACGAACAAACTTCACAACCCGTTTCTCCCTATACTTTGAAGGATGAACTAATACCAACAAACAACGGTTTAAAGTTGGTAAGTGTTCCCTAAACCCGAAACTTAACCAATGACTAACTAACTAAACCAAAAACGACCCGATTATGACCCGATTAGAGAGTAAACCAGATTTAATCAACCTAATACAATTGGATACAAGATCGGACTTAAGAAATTACAGAATCCTAAATTGGGGAAGACGACCTATCTCTCTTGCGAAGAACGTCTCTCTCAGCTTGGCTTCAGTCAGGTAAATTATCTCTCTCTCTCTTTATCTTTGTCGATTCCTTATTGTATTATCTCTATGTTTCTTTCTAGTATTGAAATTGTGTCTCTCTTTTTTGTAGAAATCGACCATGGAGTCATGGAATGATGTAAACGTTGAGTGGAATGATGCACCTGATGCACCTGATTTCGACCATGGACTCATACTTTCTTAGTTGCAGAGATGGAAATCTTTTCTTTGGTTTTTTGATTTTAGGGTTCTAAATGTTAAAATGGATTTGGGGTTTCTTACAGGATTTTGGGTGGGGAATAATTCGATCCTGAGTCGGATATTTCTTTGGGTCAGGCTGTACCAATATCAACAAATACGAACTGGTTTACTATCGGTTTAAGTTATAAACCAACTTAACCAAGCCAAATCTTGGTCTGTGGGGAAACGGGTTGTGAAATTTGTTCGTATGTGGAAACAAGTTGTTAAATTTAAATAGTGTACAATTAGGACGAGGTTGAAAGAATATGTACATTTATTACTATATGATAGTTTAAGTATGGAAATAGGTCAGTCTTCCCAAAAACAAATCATGCATGCACGTAGCCAAATTCCAAAATCAAATCTCCTCCATACATGTTAAGAAAAACATAACTAGGCGATAAAGGGAAATCATTTGGTGGCGACGACACTAAGAGACAAATTGAAAGACTAGTGGTGTGGACCGTGTGGTGAGGTCTCTTTCGAACCATTTTAAATAAGCTAAACAAAAACTGAATTGGTTCTTTGATTAGGTTGTGGTCAAACTCAACTTCTCTAAGTTAACGACTAATAACTACTCAATGTCGTTTGTGTATTCTTAAAAGAAATCATAATAAATAAAGTGATGCTACTCCAGAATAGCAGCGAAGCATCTCTTATACGAGTTGACGTAAGCGCTGAGGTCATGCCCTTTCTCTCTTCATGCACTCCACATGTATATCCAGAATCCATACCCAAAACCCGTTTACTTTGGTACTACGTCTTTTTTACGTAGACAACATAAAAGTAAAACCAGATAAAATATACAGTCAAAGTTGATAGTGGAATGATAGTGAAGTGTGAATACTAATTATCAACTTTTGATTGGTTCAGATATGTCATCTGTGGACATGAATGTACATTATAAAAGTTTGGGACAGAAATGAAAATTTTATACTTTGTGGGTCCCTCCCATTTGGCCCTAATTTAATTAACATCTCTCTCTCTCTGCTTTCAACCTTTCTTCCCCATATCTCCGGAGATCTCCAGATTCCTCTCTCCTCTTACCCTCGCCGGAAGAAAGTTTCTCCCTTTCTCTCACCGGCAAATTCAAATTCCCAAATTTCTCCAATCCAATCCCCAAAATCATGGCGATTAGAGTCACCTTCACATACTCAACCTACATCGCCAGAAACATCGCATCATCCGCCGCGGCTCGCGTCGGCACCGGAGACGTCCGATCATGCTTCGAATCCCTAACCCGTCCCAGAACCTTCACCCATTCTCAGATACCCGATCTCGATAAACGCTCCCTCCCCTCCCCTCGCCCACCTTCTTCTTCCTCCATCGCCAAGGATCTCCTCGAAGAAGGAAGCAAGAGTCCACTTTTTCTAGGGATGATCTCAATCATGAAGCTAACAGCTCCTCCTGATTTGCTAGGGATGAGCAACGTCCTGGGGATCTCCCCGTTCAAGACCTCTTCTTCTGTGATTCCTTTCCTTAGAGGTTCAAAGTGGATGCCTTGCAGTAGTATTCCGGCGATGGGTGTTGGTGAGATTGATGAGGGAGGGAAAGGGTGTGATGTTGAAGTGAAGATTAGTGATAAAGGCTCGAGCTTTGGAAATGGGTGGGTTAATAAGGTTTTGAGTATATGTTCGGAGGATGCTAAGGCGGCTTTCACGGCGGTTACTGTTTCTCTTCTTTTTAGGTCGGCGTTGGCTGAGCCCAAGTCTATACCTTCGATGTCTATGTATCCTACTCTTGATGTGGGTGATCGTGTTATGGCCGAGAAGGTGAGGTTTTTACTATTCTGTTATTGGTTATAATGTTAAGAACGATGTTTGATATTGAGTGGCTTTTTATCAGGCCTTGTTTATTTTTAGTTGGTGATTTGTGGTTTATGTCTGAGTGATTGATGAGTTATTGACTTTGCGTATGTGTTTTTTTTGGTGTTTGTTAGGTCTCGTACTTGTTCAGAAGGCCTGAGGTTTCAGATATAGTCATCTTCAAGGCTCCTCCGATTTTGGTGGTAGGTCTTTAATCACCATTTCTTGTTTTTTTTTTTTCATATGTTTGAAAACCTGTTTGAAAGGTGTTTGATATTTTCAATTGAAAAATTGCAGGAACATGGTTACAGTTGTAGTGATGTTTTCATAAAGAGGATAGTTGCAAGTGAAGGTGACTGGGTTGAAGTAAGCCCTTATATCTTAAATCTAATTGTTAGTTAATCCTATTTACCCTGTCTAATCTATCGATCTTCTATCATGTAGGTTTGTGATGGAAAGCTCTTTGTGAACGACATTGTTCAAGTAGAGGATTTTGTCTTAGAGCCAATGGACTATGAAATGGAACCAATGGTAAGCAAAACTTGCACTTCTTAGTTCAATGATTCTTGACCTTAAAGTTATGCAGCTGAGTTGTTTTTCTCTTTTAATGCAGTTGGTCCCTGAAGGTTATGTCTTTGTCCTGGGAGACAACCGGAACAAAAGCTTTGACTCTCATAACTGGTAACCACTTTGGAAGATATATGCTATTTCGTATGTAAAACTATGTTGATTCATGGATGATTGTTAAACGCAGGGGTCCGCTTCCAATAAAGAACATCATTGGAAGATCGATGTTTCGGTATTGGCCACCGAGCAAAGTTTCAGACACAATACACCACCATGAGCAAGTTATGCAAAAGGGAGCTCTTGATGTTTCATAACCGGTACAAATGTGTGGATGGTGTTCTTAGGATTAGGTTGGAAGTTGGTGGTGCCATCCATTTTGGCACTGAAGCCAACTGAGCAATTTTTTTCGTTCTGTGAATTCTCCTATGGAAGACATGGAATGCAATGAGATATCCCAAAGCAAAAGAAAAGATTGAAACATTTGTTTGTTGCTATGATTTTTTCTATTGTGTTGAATGCAACCTAATCATTGTAATGACACTCGTCAAGAAAGCGTAAAGTGAGTATTAAGGTAGAAAAGCTTAGTTTCATGTCAGTGTCTCTAGCACATTACATAAAGAGTGACAGATCAACTAAAAGAGTAGTTGCAACCTGGGTCGCTGAGTAAACTGGAAACAATGTGACCAATAACAAAAGAAGAGCTCAGGTGTTAGGCTATATATAATCTGAATATCAGATGGATGCGAAGGAACCAACCTTCGCTGCCAAGTTTCTTCACAGCTCAGAATGCACCAGCCGGGAATCGAACCCGGGTCTGTACCGTGGCAGGGTACTATTCTACCACTAGACCACTGGTGCTTATTGTTTCTAACATAAATTCGTTAACTATTCTTAAAACATTATAAAAGACCATTTAAAACTAGCTAGGTTGACTTCACGAACTTCAAGTTGCAGATTACCCATAAAAAGCTCTTATTAGTGACAAAACCAGAGTCTCATGTCCAATATTATGACCTGAACAAATAAATAGCAGCAGAAGTTTCATACAAGACCCGGATGAGAGACAGATGCAGCTGAGGTGAGGCCAAACTTTCGAGTCTTATGTATGTATTATATATACATGTATGTGAACCATTAGAAACATACGGTATTCATCAAGTAAAAGTTTGTATAGCAAAACAGTATAGTTAGTGCTACTTTTGTCTATTATAATGGGAAGTATTGTATTCTATTACCAATCTAAAGTGGATGTTGTGATGATAAGTAGCTTACTTCTGTGCCAATACTATTGACTTCTCTTAAGAAATATTATAAACCACGAAGGAGCTAGCTAAGTTGAGATTAGTGGAAATCAGTTCTGATATTACCCAAAAAAGAGAGAGCTCAGGTGCGGTTATTTCGGTATTGATGAATAGTTGAATATAGCCACAACATCAACATGTAGAATGAGATAAAAGAAAACAAGAAATGAGGAGTGTATATAATCCTTGTAAAGGAACCTGAATTCAAACACATGTTTCCAAATTTCAAATCTTGATAAATGTAGCCACATTTTTGGGATACAGTTGTGTATGACTAGTTCCAATATGACAAACAAACAAAAACTGCTCTGTATAACAAAGTTGTGTTCCCCTCTCATTCTCTGCTTTCTTCCTTTTCCCATATGATGTGGAAAGCTGTTGATATTTTCAGTCTCCCCTACTTCTCTGCTATGCGATTGTAAAAGAGAACAAACAAACAAAAGAGAGGAAAATTAAACAAGTTTTTCTCTCTCTGACAAAGCTGATGCAAAAGAGAGTTAACATATATATATAGAAAAAATATAACGATGTTCAGCTATAGGCTTAAAATTCTTTATTTGAGTTCCATACAGGTGCCGCCGTCTTTTGCACACCTCCACCACCGTCTGATAACACTCCGCTTCCATTTTCAACTGTTATTAGCGGATCCTTCTCGCTCTCTTTCATCTGCCAAACCCAAACATCACATAAATTCAGTATAGATTCTGTTATTTATTCTGATAGCAGCAGTCTTTGCCCTCTAATTATCTCTTTTATAGTGCCAATGATTAGCAATTAGACTTATGCCACTTTCTTAAGGAGGAGATGGCTTCACACGAGAGAAGTAGGTTACTCCTGTTTAAGCTAGAGGAAATATACCTGAGGCAACTGAGTTGATGTTTCACTTGCCTTCTGCTGAGTCTCAACCGAGCAGAAATAGGAATACACAACCATTCCAATAACAGCCACCATAATACCAAGAATGTTGCGCCAGTTGAATGGGTCCTTCAACAACACATAGCCAAATGCTAGAACCAGGCATGTCTTCAGATGTCCCAGAACCTGATATGTGACCGGAGACGTTTTTCCAATCACTAAAAAAGTGCTGAAGTTTACAGAGACTGATATGAGGCAGGACAGGACGATGAAGAACTGCAGTAAACAAAAGAAGCCCGTGTAAATATATGTACATGGAAGCCAGAAGACTAGTACTTAAGTTTGGGTAGAATCCCTCGCATATTGGCACTTACCACAACTTGAGAAGTGTACTTGAAGGCAAACACATTCTGATTGGTTAGGAGCCCATCCAAAAACGGACCAGTGACGAAAAGAGTAATTGCTTGATAAGGACAAGACTGATAAAGAAGTTGCGTGGATGAAACTTTGAACTTCTTCTGGATGGTATTTGTCATCTGTGTACCGGTTGGTTAAAAGAACACCATCGAATTAGCATAAGATAAAATATAAAGGAAGGTAGGAAGAATAAAACAATGGGAAAAGAAGGGCTAAGAATAGGATACAATTTGAGCAACACAAGTTGTGATAACAGCCAGCAGCGACAAGACAGAACCCAGCATATTAAGCTGAAGATCTGTGACGGTTGCAATTCCAACACCAAGGAGAAGAATGCTTAATGAAAACTGAATTTTTCGACTGCAAGCAAAAAGAAGAAACGTGTCATTAACAAGGCCCTTGACCAGAGACTAGCTTGAGAAACTCGTTAAGGCATGAAAATTTTCGTGGTCGAATTATCAAATACAAAATGGGACATTAGACTTACTAAGTTGCTCATCTATTACATTACATCAAATTAGAAGTTTGATAGCCAACTACAAATGCATGAACATGGGAATAGATATACAATGTCATATAAAACTGTATCCTCCAAATTAATAATCAGTAATAGAAATGTACAACTTTGAGTGCTAACCTGAACTTTTTCCTGAAGAAGAGTGTCTCCAAGAGAACAGTACAAGGGATGATTGCTAGTTTTGTCATCTAATATCAACAGAGGAGAGAAGATGTGTTAAAAAGAAATCATCATGTAGTAGCTGGAATAACAAAAAGCTATTACCTGGTAAAAACCAACGGAATTAAATCCCAGGCTAAGGTTCAATAATCCAATGGAGATCCCATTCAATATCCCAAACCCCATCACAGCTCGTGGATCAAAAGGCTTGTGTTCAAACATCTTCATCCATAGTGCCACATGAAGGGAACAAAACGTGACCAGAAGATGCCAACTAGTCAAAGTAGTCGCTGTACGTAGAAAAAAATAACAACAATAAGTAACAAAGATAGCCTATGAGATCAATAGCATATCATGAAATCTAAGCTAACGCAGGCTTCACAAAAGAGTTGATCATCGTAAAATGATCTCTAACCTATCCTTTCAACACATACACACGTATAGATCCAAAGGAAACAATCTATAACCTATCCTTCAACTCATACGCTAAGAGAGTAACATACAAGGACACGTATAGATCCAGAGGAAATAGTCTCTGTAGTATTTTTAACACGGATACTCAACGAGAGAAAGAGGTTACCGAAGGTGAAGCCAAGGGTGCTAATAAGCGCCTTGTTACAGATCACGATCGACACAGACGATACAACGGACAAACTCAAAGCGCCGATTGTTCCCAGCTGGAACTTCTGGCCTTCGCTCATCTTCGCTCCTCTCTTAATTTTTTTTTCTCTCTATTGCTTCAATCACGATCTACAATGATCTAAACATATTTCAAATCGGTTTCCGTTAGCAAAAGTAAAAACGTAAAAGGAAACAAGATCGATCTGTCGAAAACGAACCTCATTCGTGTATAAGGACTACGTAAACGCGGGGGAGAAGCTCAACTGCAGCAAAAACGGAGAAATAAAAAAGTCGTTAGATAAAACATTCAAGGTGGAGGAAGGATAAGATATATTGGGAAGGCGGAAGCCATAAACCCTAGATCTGCCGTTGTGAGAGAGAGATCAGGAAAATTAGTTGGAATGGATAATGAGGAGACGCGAAATGAAAGATAGGGAGGGAGGGAGAGAGAACTCACGGGAGAAGGAGAGAGAATCCAAACTTTGACGGAGGAGAGTAGATTCAGATATTTTTGTATAAAAGAGAGAATCCTATTTTTTGCAATTCGATATGATGGTCTGCACTCACCACCGTACAGAGGAAAATAGTGAGAAAGAGAGAGAGAGAGAGAGAGAGAGAGAGAGAGAGAGAGGAAGATAGTTTCGCTTGATACTTGGATGGGCCCCACCAGCAATTTACCGCGGGATAAAACCTAATAAAAAGTTAAAAACTCACCACTCCTATTTACTATAAAAAAATTATTATTACAAATGATTTCTATAATCTATAATCTATAATTCTATTTATATCATACTAACTAGTTTATCAGTAACAATTAAAAATAGTTAAGTTTTCTAAACTCACCACTCCTATTTACTATAAAAAAATTATTATTACAAATGATTTCTATAATCAATAATTTATATCATACTAACTAGTGTATGAGTAACAATTAAAAATAGTTAAGTTTTTTAATTAATCTATAATTATAACTTTTTCTATAAATTTAATTTCAAAATTTTTAATATAAAATGTTACTCAATCATTGACTTAAGGAAGCTTCTACTACGATGTTATATTCTAAATCTGATTCTATTAAAAATGGTCTCTAACTGGCATGCTTATATAGATCTATATCTCAACCAACCGACAAAACTTATTTTAAAATGAATATCCTCAATTGTTGCTCAAAAAAAAAATGAATATCCTCAAACAATCATAACAAAAAAAAAGACATTTTTGTGTGTTTTTGCCCAAAGTATGACAAAATATTAAGCTCAAATAAAAAAATATCAAAGAAGAATTGAAAACTAGAGTATACTAGAAAGTGTTGTTTCTCACTAGCAGAGGCTTGGGTAAAACTGAGAAGTTGACTTGAAAGCCACAGGGTCTGCGATGACCTGCACCGACTTGGTATCTGCCTGAGTTTCTTTCATATTGGTGTTGCATCCCCACACCCTAACCACTAGCCTACGGCATTTTGGGGATGATTCTCTGAAATAGGTTTTGTACCACTTGATCACATCGTTCTTCTCTATGCTTCTTAATTCTTCTGCTTCTTTTTGGGAGTAATCAAACATGTACCTATGCGAGAGAGAGAGTTAACTCCATTTTATCAGTGACTGGTGTGGAATCAAGCAACTCATTGGATTACCAAAACTAAAGATCTGATGCTTTAAACCCTTGAGATCCTTACCTTTTGTCAACAATCTGACTCCATAACTCATCTGTCTCAGACAAGAGAGAAGGATCCTTTTCCAGCAATGTAGCAATCATACCGCTTCTATAATCTTCAAAGGATTCTTCATCAAGTTGTTCCTGCAAGTAAAACCAGAGCAACAATTGTGGAATGAGATGGGAAAAGGCTTCAACGTAGCTTAATATCTTCTTTTCTTCTTCTTACCAGAAGTGTTTCGATGTCTTTTATGAAATTTTCGATTCTCCCGAGCAAATGAACCGGACCGTACTCGGAAGATTGAACACAGAAAAAGAAACCGTAAACACGATAAGTTAAGCGAGGGCCACACCTGACAACATAACCAAGCTGCTCCTTTGTCCTATAACAAGAATCGCATTATATACACATGACTATATACATAAATACGGTTTGATCTATAAAACAAACTAGCGAAACATGTGACGACTAACCTCAACTGATTGAACAATGGCTCTCCTATGATTTCATTAAAGAGATCCAGCATAGCTTTCATTCTTGTTGATTGAGTTTCTTCAGGCTCGATTTGATAGTAAAGCTGCAAAACAGGATTCATGTTCAAATTCATAGCCATGACTATATCAAACCTAATATAGCTTCTACTTGGCTGACTCGCATCAGAAGAAAAGACATTTGTCTTTTTACCTCGACTACTGAGTTTGTTTGAGATTTGTCCTTCACAGTGACATCTCTTACAAGTTTGGCATTCAGAGGGAAGCACGTTATCTGCTGTCCATGTCTACATTTCGCTGGGAGCGGTTTAACTGTCAGACTAGTTTTGAATATGTTTGATATGTTTACTGCTTCATCTTCCGACAAATTACCATGACACAGAGCCTCAATATATATCTGCAAACATAACAAAAGTTTCATCTAACCGTTACCCTGATTTAAACAAAACCAGCCAACAATCGCAAAGGCAAGTAGTCGAGTTTTTAAGTAAAAGGGAAATCACATTAACTGTGGTTGGGGCAGAATTTTTTTACCTGAGAGCGAACTTCAGGAATAAAGCTGTTGAGATCAGTGAGAGACAAATCATTTAGTACAGACAACTTCTCGTCGCTGTCATAGAATCGTTTACACAAGAGTTGCAGTCTCAAGTATGTGGAATGGTTCAAAGGCTTCATATTAGTATTTCTAAACCCTCTCTCCATGTTTTCTTTGATAACCTGCAAGGTTAGATAGAGAAGGTAGTAGCGGATGAGGAAAAGAAATTGACACACAAAATGAAGTTGAAGACTGAATGAGAATAAATAGTATTTTGACAATTATACATGCAAAATTTCACATACCTTAAATCGGTCCAGGCTTGGCATGAAGGATTTGGCTATGGCTAAGATTTTTGATAAGAGAGCTGGAATTTTTTCATTAAATCCATACACTTTAAGCTCTAGTTTATCACCATATACAGATAAAGAAGTTTCGAGTTTTGCTATACTGGCCTGCAAAAAATCAGATATTTGTGTCAATACAAACACAAAAGGTCTAAAACGATCTTCCTAAAAGGTAGTTAACTTGCCTGGTATATGATCTCATTTAGCTCATCTTTCAGAAGGTTGATAAATAATTCCGTCAAAAGGCAGTTCTTCACACTGTCATATGCCCCCTTCAAATTTATGTGGAAGTACGTATTTGCACGGGGAACCTTAAACGTTTCGTCAAGCTTGTACCAGAACTTCATTAACGGTTCATCAATTATACATTTAGGGGGAGACTGACTTTTGGGATCCGCATCTGAGTTAATGGCCCGGATGGAAAAATCACAAGGGATGAACTGGTTTTTTGAAGGAAGATGGAGAGAAGTATCTACTTCCGAAGGATTGCTCCATGTTTCCATCAAAGACAATGGGACATCTTCTTCTACGTAACGAGAACCGAACCAAGGCTCAGTTTTGAACTCTGAAACAAGGAAGTTTCAAAACAAAGATAGTAAGAACATTAAAATGAAAAACCCAAAATTACAATCTCAACAAATCTCGGAAGTACCTTCTGACTTGACGGGCTTTGAAACAACATCAATCCTCATGTTTTTTGGTGTGAAAAAACCCATGAGATCTTCTATTATTTTTGGATCCCATGTCTGGTATACGTAATCACCACAAATAACGTGCTCTACCGGATAATCAAGCATATTCTCTGTTAAATAACACTCTCAATGGTTAATTAAGAAAACCCATGATGATTTACATTACAGGTAAACATCAATGCATCATATTTCTGAAAATCTTTACATGCCAGTATAACCAATGTTAACGCCTTAGAGGAAGTGACGAACTAGACCAATGACATTAAAGTACAATTGTACAAACCTGAGAGCTCAACAGCATAATCATCTGCAGCCTGCTCCTCAGCGTATCTAAAGTCCATGTTCCCAATATCTTGGAGTTCCTTGAATATCCATTCTTGTGGTGACGCATCACGCAATAACTTGATATATTGATATATGTAACCAATGATTTCATTAATCTGTAAATATAAGTTGTCACAAGGTCCAGTGAAAAGGAGTAACATAACAAAAGTAAAGAAAGGATAAGAATGACAGTATATGAAGCTATATACAGTTGAAAAATTGAACTAACCTCTCCGAGTTAAGCTAAGTTAAAGTTTATCAACTTATATTTACCTTCTCTAAACCAGAGTCAGTGAGATGTAAGGACATATCAAAAACATAGGCCAGAGACGAGCGGCTTTTTCCATCATCCCCAACACCAGCAGACAGCGAGGTTATCCAGCCCTTAACTTTAAGGAATGAATGAAGACTTCCTCTACCCTCTAGAAAACATAATGGTAGAAACAACGTTCTTCAATACGCAGTTTACATGAGTGCATGCACAAGCACGCTTTAAGAAAACTATATATAATGGATGTGATTTCTCACCATGTCCTAATAGATGTGATAGATAGTCCTCCGGCTTCTTCATATATGCATGGCGAAGAGGAGGGAGAGTCCATGTCAAATTAAGAATATGAACATCTGTGACCGCTTCTAAGCGATATAATTTACCGCCTTCCCAAATAGAACCTTTTGCCTCCAGAGTTGGCCTAATTTTGGATCCGTTTTTGACATCGCCAAATAGTTCTACAACCCAACTTTCAAGCAAATCGAGAGGTTCTGCAAGATACAATAGGTAACCCATAAAATTACAATAAACTCAGACAGCAACAAAAGCCAATATCTAGGAATGCAAAAACGTTTTCCAAAATTTAGAGGGAAACACATCATAAACCTAAAGAATATTACCTCCTCCAATGACAACGAGTTTCATCAATCCACCGTGATAATATTCCTTGTATAATTTCACGATGCATTCCCGTAGATCAACCCCATTTTCCATTGCACCATTCAAGCTCTTCTTGTTACCTTACAGCGCACACGCAAAACAAATTAACTATAACTTGTTTCATGAACAACTGAAGTGTGGCAACAAAGGTACACCGAGATGCCCTTACCCCATGCGAATCTATTTATAGGATGACCTTTTGTAGACGTATAGCACTGAAATTGTTGCAGACGACAAGCATCACTTTGGAGGACCTGGTTAAATTCTATAAATTTGGATCTTGTTAGCAAGACACAGTTAACTATATAAGAGGTTACTTTATCCTAATGTTGATTGAAGATGAAGCTTTCGATAATTTCTAACAAAAGGGGCTAAGGGCATGATTAAAAGGCGATACCTGAATCAACAGCAAGGAGTTCTCGTTCCATGGCTTCAGTCTTCATGAGCGGTGCAACAAAAAACTGAGAGAACCTAATAGCAAGAGAACAAACTAAGGTCAATGATAACAAACTCTAGTCATGCATACCGACACATATATCGTTCGCCTCGGTAAATTTACAGCAGTTAATATATAAAAGGTATAAGTGAAGTGTTAGCAGAACCAAATTTTGTACCTTTTTAAGGCTCCTTGAAGGAATTCTTTCTTGACTTCAAAGTGATAGCACGTATGCTCCATTTCAGTGTATGCGTTAGAGGATCCTCCATGCTTAGACAAGTAACTATCATACTACAAGCAAAACAACATCAGACCCAGAAGAGCTCAAAGATACATCATTATAACAAAACAAAGTCTGTCCTAAACGTTGAAAAGATGTAATTTACTCAAGATCTAAATAAACAATCTAAGTATGCTTCATTTCATTCATATGAATCCATAAATAGTGAAAAACAATTGCAAACATAGAATATAATGCAAGGCTTACTTCATTCTCATCGGGGAACTCAGTGCTACCCATAAAAAGCATGTGTTCTGCACAAAAACATTAACATGAGTAAATCCACTACACACCAAAAAATAAAGGAAGTGAATTCAAAATTCATAGAAAGATGAAAACACCAAGAAAGTGAGCAAGGCCTTGCGCCTCAGGAGGATCCAAGAAGCTTCCCATTGCAACACACATAGCTGCAGCTGCCTAATAAACGCACAAGTTTAAAATTAAAATTTCACAAAAGAGTAAGAAAGCAAGTCGATATAGAAGACCTTTTTGGTCTGATGATCCTCTTTCTCTTTTACTTCATCTTCTTCATAGCTCTCGTCACCATCTTCTACTTCTTCTTCTCCATCCTCATAATCTTCATCAATTTGATCGCCGCCGTCGAGATAAATATCTGGATCGTGGATAAGCAGAGCAGACAATCCATTCTCCAGTTCGATCACTCTGTATAGCCTCCGATCGTTGGGTGACTTCACCGCTACATTGTCCAAGCTCGAAACGGCTTTCGTAACAGACATTGTTCTCGCTCTGAGAAGAAGATAGTGACTCGTGAAGAAGAAGCTGCGCTGCTGCTGCTGCAAGAGTATCTCCTTCTGAGCTCTTTTGAATCCGATTCCGCCACTGTTGCTTTCTTCTGAATTCGATTGTTATTTTATTTTAAAAAAAAATAGAATCACTGAACACTGTAATGTATTGTCTACCGACAGAAAAAGAAAACTGCAATGTCTTGCAGTTATCTCCATAGTGATCTAACATGTTAGCCGTTTTTTATCATAGAAAGGACACGTGTTGCTTATTTTAAATCTGAAAAGGCAATATCTGAAACTACAACAACGTGCCGTCATCTTCATAGAAATCTAACATGTGAGCCGTTTCATGCTATTTGTTCTTTCTGATGAAACTTTTTCACGCTTCGTCTTGGCCGTCACCTCCCGCCGGGAAAGAATTGAGAAATGGAAATTGAAATAATTGAAAGTTGTTACAAACCTAACTGACCTTTCCTGTACAATCCAAATCGAGGCAACGAATCGAGGAGCGAGAGAGGGCGAATGTCTCTGAAAAATCCTAACATTGCTTGGTTGAGTTGACGAAATGGAAGCAATGAACTCTCATCGAGGAGCAGAATTTCGAGCGAGCGAGTGGAGAATTTAGTTGAGATTATTCTGCAAAAAAAGAAGTCTCTAAAGTGCTCGAATCAGTGAAGGAAGTAAAAAGAAGCTTATGCAGAAGCAATGAGATTGATAAGTTTATGCCTTTAAGCGATAAGGTTAGTTGTTTGGTTACTCTTTGAGTAGCTGTCGAGGAACGTTGTTACACCTTAGAGACAAAATCTTTGGCTTTTTTTGAGGAACGTTGTTACAGAGTTGCATCTCAACCTTGATTATGAGTACATTGGATGAAATCTAGAGAAGAAACAGGAGAGACAGAGCTAATGGACAATCTAAACTCTGTGGACACTTTATGAACCTACTTGTTTCTCTAAAACTTAAAACGTTACGTGGATTACAGAACAAGAAAATGATGTTGCTGTGTGACACAACACAGCTTGTTCCAATTGTCGTGTCACCTAATTTGTAAAAGAAACCAATTGTGGGTACAAGCACAAAATCTCCCTGGAGGATTGGCCACACTGATGATGATCCAATTCCTAATGCGCAGAACAAATGTACGCAGCTTCTTTAATCATTCTGCTCTTTCTTCATTTCTCTTAATAGTTGATGCTATCACGTTTCTAATAGTAGACACAACATCCATGAGTAGGTGGGAATATTGTAGACATAGCAAATTAAAAAAGAGAGCGCAATATTTTAACAACTAGTCTTTCTCATTCAAACTATATATTATAAAAATAGAACCGTAAAGAATTAAAAAAAACTTTTGAATCTGAATCTACATCTTCCTGACCTAATAAAGTAAAGAACAAAAAGTCTTAAAGTCTTTGTCATTTTCTCATTCTCTTATTAGCTGAGCACACCAGAAACAGAAAAGTCAGTTCCTCAGAAACTGTCCAATGCCTCAATTGGATCGTTCTAGGAATTCTACAGCCAAGCTCCTTCCTATGATGCTCGACGGTGACTATTACGGTGGATCATCAGCTGCTGTTCCCTTCAAATGGGAATCTCAGCCCGGAACTCCCATAAGACTCTTCAAAAGATCTTCAGGTTCTGACTCCGATTTCAATTCTCCTGTTTCAGCTCCACTCACACCTCCTCCTTCTTACTTCAACGCTTCTCCTTCCTCTACAAAACCTAAAAGAGCCAACGTTCATTCTGGTTCCTTGGTCAACAAGAATCGTAGTGTTCCCTCGTCTCCGCGTGCTTCATCTTCATCATCCTCGTCTTCAACATCTTCTGTGCCATCTTCTCCGCTGAGGACGTTGGATTCGTATGGAAGTAACAGTAGAAGATCAGTGCTGTACGGATCTAGACATTATAATGCTAAGTCTTCAGGATGCTACGGTTCCATCATCAAGATGTTTCTTAGAGATTTCAAGTAATAATTATGTGTTTAATAATGTTCCAAAATCTGTTGGTTTTCCACTGTTTTGTAATCTCGGAAATAATTTCTGAAACTAATTTTCCTCAGATTCATTTCATCTCAATGAATCAATCGATAGGATCATAAGTGATAATCATATGCTTGCATGATGAAGATATAAATGCACTCTATACATATTTAGAATCTGTGCTCAGTTTATTTTCTTGTCATTTCAAATTCTCAACATACTCTTCCGCTTCAGATTTGAAATCTGTGAAAAAACTAACTTTTCTTCACTTTAATATTTACAGCAACCCATAACTAACCATAGTAAATTAAAATCAACATAATTTAAGTGCTAACCTAATCACATTACGTGCTAGTATACAGTAAGATCAGATCTATACATGTTCAGTAGTATTGCTTCACTTTAGTGTAGTCATGTGACACATTAAAATAAACAATACCTTTTACTCACGGTCAAATCTTTATACTATTATTATTTTTTTATTTTTTTTATTCAGTGTATTGATTAGCATTCTCTCGTTTGGCGTTCTTTGACCATCACGTGACACCACATGTGCATGGAGCTCACGTTGGCTGATTCCAAGCTCCGTTAGCATAGCCTTGTTTGAGGGAATCATACATAGTTCTATTCTCGTTCGTAGACTTTCAAATTGCTCCAATCAGATCAAGTTTGGTTCTGATACAAAATTTTCACAGGCTTCGGTAAATTTTAACAATAAATAGTCATTTTTCCTCTCTCAACCATAACATTCAAAAACTAAAGCCAGACTTAGAAAACGAAGTTGCCTTCTTCTGCAGCAGAAGAGAATGCACCATCTTCCATCTCAGTGAGGGCAGTTGCAGTTGAATCATCTATTCCCAGCAGATATTGTAGCCTCGATACCTTTTCCGGTGCCGGTTTAGGATCACTCTTTGAATAGATACTATACAGATCAGATAATTCCTCCGAGACCTCCCACGACAGTGGCTCAGCGGGAACAGCTTTGTCGCATGCAAGCAAATCATTAAGCGATGAGACCTAAAACAATAAAAAGCATGCACTAATCAGTCACACACTCTAACCCACCTAGTATTAATGTCCTTATAAGAGATGAGAATAGGATTTGCATACCACTCCTTTGGCGTTTCTCTGCCTGAGTAATGCAACGGATTGAATCAGGGAGTTTGATAATCTACTCCGAGCAAGGTCATGGACAACACCTCTTGCCTTTTCAACATCAATACTGAGATCAGACGGGATTGTCTCGTAGACTTCAGTTTCATCGAATTCACCTGTTCCTGATGAGAATATGTCATTCACTGTCTTCTTGAACAGTTTCTCTCTCAGACTCACAGCGATCATGCTGTCCAGACTCACGTTTGCCTCCTTGAGCTCCCTTATCTGCTTTATGTTCAGTCTTCCTTGGTTGACAGCTGTTTCTATCGCGTTTGCCATTTTTGTGGTTGTTATGTTCTTTATAACCTTCTCCGCTTGTGGCTGAGGCAACCCAACTTGTTTCTGCAACTCGTCTAACTGCTCTACTCTTGCCTTTGTCAATTGCCCATCAGCTAGAATCACTTCAGCTTGTTGCCTGAAAGCCTGCTCGGCTAAACCTACGTGAATGTTGACAATTTCTTTCGAAGTTAGTCCAAGGATCCCACCAAGCTGATTCAGAAGCAAATACTCTGAGTCGTCTCTCTTTGTTGTGATCTGGGCGCCGAACGGGATTCTTGTTACCTCTCCGGTTAGACAGTAGAGCAAGTATGTTTTGTAGAGATCGATCCTGTCCCTGTCGGGAAGGTCATCTTTAAGAGTTATCTCAGTCTGGCCAGGCTTTCCCATCTTCTCCACGAGTTCTTTGTCAGGTCTTGTCTTTCTGAGCGATTCAAGGGATCCCCATTCCTCATCTTCAGCATCTTCTTCTTTCTCTTGAACAGGCTTCTCAGGTTCTTTATCAGAAGATTCTCCCTTAATGTCAGCCAACATTTCAGTCACAACTAACGTGTTGAAAGCAATCATTTTCTTGAGCTCCTTTGCTGACTCAGTGCGGTTCTCTGCCGATCTTGCTCGTCTGATATAGTTTGTGAAAACTCTACGGACCTGCATCAATGAAGGTTTTCTCTTTTCTCATCAGAGAAACTAAACATTGATACCAAAAATGAGAATAGTAAATAGTGTGATGATACTCACAGCCTTGCTAGCAATAGACATGGCAGTCTCTCTGGATAACCGAAGACCATGAGCAGCCTTTCTTACTGACTTGCGAGTTTCAGCATCATAGCCATCCACTCCAGAAGAAATTGCTTCTCTGACAACCTGCAAAAGATGAAACGAATTAGTATCTGTAAGCAAACCTTCTGGCAATCCCGTTGAAACGTGGTCAAAATGAAGTTAATGGAAACGAATTGAAAACAGGCAAATGTGTATTATTAACATGAGAGTTTCTAAAAGCCAACATTGAAATTTCAATGCCAGGACGAAAGACCATGAGAACAAACTGGGACATAGAAGGGACCAATAAGCTGGATTACCTTTTCAAATATGCTTCCACAAATGTCAGCATGAGCTGCCTCAATAGTTTGCTGAGGAATGCAGAGCATGACTCTTAACCTTAACAAAGCAGCAACATTGTCATCGCTCAGCTCTCCATCAGTAACACATTGTTGAAGCTTCTGCCTATAGATTTCTGAAGAAAAGCAGGTGATTGTCAGATGACTGAGAAGAAAAGAAACATCAAAACTGTTAGATAACAGCACGTAATGTAACCACACGAAAGTGCCAGACTTCTTGGAAGTCTGTTACGAACCAAATCCAAAACAATTAAAGCTACTTTGCAAGGTAAGGGACCAGCAGGTTAACAAACCATCAAATTGATAAGATTCTAGTTTTCATTCAAACTGTATAACGTAACAACATAAGGTCAGGTGGTCCCAACATACCTTCATGGATTGCGCTTGCCTTTTGTGCATCAAAGTGCAGCTCTTCGCAAAGCTTTTGAAGATATTTTGCTTTACTGTCTTGTGCTTCAAGGTCACCACTTGTAACAGCGTTAGCAAGTCTTTTACGGTATGCCTTGGACGTGACATCAACACTAATAGCTTCAGCCTCCCGTGTTCCTAGTCCGAGGATGTTTCTCAGTTGGCTCATTGCCACAAGCTACCATTCAGCAGAAAGATGATGATCAAAAATGACATACACATACTCTATAACGTACTCACTTCACTATATATTAACTGATACAAAACTGGTTTCAGCTTACCTTGTTTTCTTCGATGCGCCCACTCGATAAAGCATCTGTAACATATGCTCTATAAAGTAGCTTTAAATCATCCATCCTCCTCTCAAAGTCAGACTCACCTCCTGTGACACAGAGATCAACGTTAATAGCCTATAAATTAATAATCAGAAAAGAAACCGTCAAAAGCATCTTTACCTATTAAAGATATAGGGCCAAGACCCCGGGCAAAATTATCTGCCTCTGAATGACTTTTCAAGGAAACCAGCAGGTTGTTAAACTCCAGTACTTTTTCAAGCTCTTCCACAACATGTGACATACTCTTCCTGGATAAACATTTTATGCATGATTCAGTAATGAATAAAGGAAGTAGTTTTTCAGCTCGACCACATTCAACGTTCAAATATATAATAATGTGCAATTAAATTATTTTATGCATGATTCAGTAATTAATAAAACAAAATGCTTTACACTGCTCGTGTGCGGGATTTTAGTACGCCAAGTGCAGATGTAATATTCTCTATGGCTACTGTCCTTGTATGTTCTCTAAACAGCTCTTCGGCAAGCTGAAAGGGACAAGAAACTGTCAGAAGAACTATAACCAGTGGTAACAGGAAGTCAAGGCAACAACAAAATAGAGTACCTCATCAGAAAGCTTGAATGATAGTTGTGCTTTTCTAAGATCCACAAGGTTATCTACGTTAATATCTGCAAGAACATGTTAACATACATAACCAGGTAAGTTTCCATGCTGAAGATAAGGCTAAGAAGTATATGACATCTATGTCAAATGAGATGTATCATTGCGTCGTTATAATTCCACGCAAAGCATTCAGACATCTTGCTGAAAGATAAACAGTACAAAACTATATTTGCAAGAAGTGACAAAGTAGTTGATTTAACCAGCTCAAGCAACTACCTCCATCGTACAAAAGTAACATTACTTTCTAACTTAAAATGAAAAACATGAATAACATTACCTCTACCAACTAATTTCAACCTTTCGGCATACAGCTGCTTTGCATTTTCACGAATAGCAATCTCAACCTATATACGAGATTAACACGTTAGCAGAGAACTTCAGAATAGAATAAGTTGCCAAATTCCAATATGCATCTTACAAAAAAGAAAAAAACTGCACAAAATCATAGGTTTAACAAAAATAGCAATGCCAACCTGAGCATCTGTGACCTTCAGCACTCGCTTCCAAGGTAAAAGGAAGGAGGCAGCGTCTCCAAACACAAGAGCTGAAACATAGACAAGCCTCATAAATGCCTGCACTAGGACCATACAGCTCGTGATCACATTCCTGCTCTCTTTCTAAACCAATCTACAATCAAAATAAGGAATACGAGTGACTATTGACTCACCCTACGCTGTTCTGCATCACCTTCACGCTCCCCAGTCTCAAGCCTTTGCCTAAAAATCCTCCGCCCAATCTAAAACAAAACCAAGAAATTAGCGAGCATCCTTCCGAATCAACTGCAAAAAGGCTAATAATCAAACAAATAATAAGCAAACAAGAAAACACCTCCATGTGCATAGAAGCTGCATCAGGGTCATCTATTCCCAAAGCACTTTTGAATTTAACAATCTTCTCCACTTCATCTCCTTTAAGAGACTCTCCTTCACTTGGAAGCACCGAAGTTACATACCTAATCAAGATCAAGATACAAAGATTAACTTAACAAACTCTCCACACTAATCAAATGAGGAAATAGAGAAATAAGAACTCTCACCGGCAATATATATCACATATCTCAGCTTGGAACGCCTCATCTCCTTTGTTAACACCATACCTACAACACACACAAACAATCAACGCCTATAAATCCGAAACCTAATCATCAAAACTAACAAAACATACACAAACAATCAATGCCTATAAATCCGAAACCTAATCTTCAAAATTAACAATCAAAACACTAACCTAGAAGCGATTTTCTCGATATCCTCTTTCGTCACAGAAGCAGGATCTTCGAATTCGGCTACAAAATTATGCAACCCGATAGCAGCAACCTCCGGTACAGCAGAGTTCAAAGCATAGACAACAGCTCCACCTGCAGCTCCCGCTACAGCAGCTCCACCGAGAGCGATACTCCTTGAGCCCGCTAAGCGAAGCCCAAGCCCATAGCCAGTAGCTAAAGAGGCCGCTAAAACGACAGCAGAGGCCGTTAGCCTCACCGGCGGGGACATTTTCTCTACGATTGGTTGCAATCCAGTGAGCTCCTTCTTGTTATACACCAGTGGTGGTTGTTGTTCGGAGGGAGTAGTAGCTGCTGCGCAACGAGGGAAGGAAGTGAGGTAACGACGGCGATTTGGAGAGTGAGAGTTTGATAACAACGGAGTGAGGAAGTGGGAGAGTAGAGGAGAGCGAGTGGAAGGTGAGATTGGAGCGTTGATGATTGCTGTGGGATTCATGGTTTCCTTCTACTGCGAGAAGCTCGTAGGGTTTAACGGAACAGAGAAGGAGGAGAAGGGAAGAGAGAGGATAGAAACGGAGATAGGACTCGAGTCAAAACGCCATTGATATGTCTTTTCGGACGACGAAACGTTTTTAATTTTGTATTGAACACTGCGTGCTGTTTTTTACTGTGCGATAAACGGTGAGAAGTTAGATGAATAGCAAATTAGACGGAGCGCGTAAACTGGAAGCGCGATCTTCTTCTAGGGCTATTAAATATTTCTGTTGGTTTTGGGCTCGAAAACTAAAACAAAAAGCCCATTATTTTCTTGCTTCTAGGGCCGAGTCCTGGTTCCATTGATCTTCAAAGCAAATTAACAACCACTAATTAGACTTTTGATTCATTTATTCTCTTTTTAGAAAGTAACTATAAAGGGTGTAGTTTTTTTTGTGTTTTTGTTATAAAACTATACATTGCTAAGAAAGCAGCTCAATATTGTAGACACAAGGTCAGTTAATTCACTTTGTGAACTAACAGAAAATATATTTCTCCCAACACTATTTGGAGAAAAATGAAAGTGGGATCAGATGAACTTAAAATCTTGCCATTATCATTGTCATCTTGACATGAACCAATAAAAGAAAATTTAATTTATAATAACAAAACACAAGATTATAGAAAATTGATTTTTGATTTACCATGACATGAACCAACAACCCTTCTGTTCTTAACCGATTTTCATTAGTATCTTTTAATGTTAATCTATTATATTAAATGAGAAGTCATGACTCACTTCATGTGTGATTTTTAAGTTTGGACCACCCTTAGAAATTTTATATAATATAACATCATTATAATATCTTTTCATATCTTTAATTTTTATTTGAAATAAAAATAAATAATTTTAAGAAAATTCTAACAAAATCTTTAAAAATCTTATAGAATCTTTTTAAGATATAGTTTCAAAAATTATTTGATTAAAAATTTAATTATCACAGAATATAATTTATTTAATTCCTATTTTTAACAAAAAATATGTAATATACTTTTAACAATATCCCAAAATTTTGTTTATGTATTATGTAGGTCCAATTTAATTTACATTTTATATATTTAAAATTTAGAAATAAAACAAAATATATATAAATTAGTAATGTTACATAATAATGTTTTTAAAAATTGTTACACAAAGACAAATTTATAAATTTAAAATTAATAATATTATTAGCTACAGAAATATTATTATAAAATTGGATAGTATATACAATCAAATTATATTTATTTATTGATAAATTTTACTCCCTCCATTACTTAATATATGATGTTTTGGATCATAGCACAAAAATTAATAAATTTACATTCTTTTACAAAAATATTTTTAAAGATATAATTTTATAATTATTCAACAAATTATTAAAAAGAGTAAAATTTTATCGGTTGAACAATTTCCAATAAAGTTAAAGATACTTTTAAAACCTCAAAATATACCTTAAAATCTCAAAACATCTTATATTTTGAAATAAAATAAATCTTATAAAACATCATCTATTTAAAACAAAGTGAGTGTTATATAATTTCAAATATTTTCGTATTAAAATACCCGCACGGTTGTGCGGGTCGAAATCTAGTTAAGCTTAATTCCAAATGTACGTGTGATTATTTTCATTGTGCACAAGCGCAACTCTTCTGGAGCTTCCGGAAAGTTTCAACTGAGTAACATAATTTTTAAGCATATATTCCTATCTTCGGTTGTGAATTTACAATGCCTTATAAAGGGCCGACGTTTGAAGTCTAACTATTCTCGTGTGTATTGCAAATTTAGAGTAGTGTTGACTGTTTGTTTTGGAGACTAGCTATTAATTACAGTCTCTCGTTAATAAACCGACGTGAGATGGATTCAAAACATTTAGATATATTAAAAAAAAATCATGTACATAAAATTGGAAGCATTAATGGTTGGGGCGTATGGAGAAGATGGGCTGTTTGGACCAAGCTTAGTAATGTACACATTAAACATAAATAGTAAATCCTAGACATAGACAGGAATAAAATAGAAGAAAAAGAAAGATGGATGTCTTATGGAGATGGGGGGCATAGAAGAGGGAATCCATGTGAAGGCAGTTGATTCAGATGGGCTCGCCAGCTTTCATTTTCGCTTTGTTTACTTGTCATTTCTCTTTAAATGTTTAAATAATAATAAGACGAATAGTTTAAAACTCGTGTCTGATCTTTTAACTGCATAATTTCATTTTTCTATAGATATCTTTACTTGTGGTTGTAGCCATCTCCAACCTTTTGGCCAATAAAGAACTTTCTATTTTATATTCAAATTATAAATATACATTTTGAATGTAATTTCATGTTTAAAAATATTGTATCTGTTATATGTGAGTTGTTGCATTAGACCAATATTAACCCATATTCCCTTTCAACGTTCAATCAGTCACAACTAATAATTTTAGCATCTGACATATTTCGGTAGCCTGAAATTTAAAAGCGAAAGCTATATAAACGACATAGTAAATATAATTTTTTTAATTAACTTGAATTATTTTGTACCTGTGAAAAAAGTTTAGATTAATCTCCATGTGAAATTGCAATTCATGAATACATTATTTTCTGGTATTTATATCTACGTGAACACAAAGTAGAATATAATGCAATGCATTTGAACCTGGATATATTACCTTCTCAAAGTACAGCTACTATTAAACCACCAAAATATAGAATTCTTCATCTAATTTTTGTCTAGTGCATAATCATTGATACACTTTATTGTCCGTGTATGGTGTACATTACAAGTTGTTTTCCTTTCAATTCTATATGTTTTTTTTTTATAAATTTTACTATATCAGTTTCAAATGCTTTTCGATTGGTCCACCTGCATGTGAAACCTGCGCATTAACTATTATCTTAAAACTACCAACTGATATAATAAATCAGTCTAATCATTCAAAGTGGTGTATTTTCCGTTAAACGCACATTTTATCATAATCATTAATCATTTCATTGATGGCTTTTGTCCGTCTACAGTTCGATCACACACAATTTCCGGAGTTAGAAATCAAAATAACAAAGTGAACACTAATATACAAACCAATAAATCATAAAAACACATTAATAATTTCATTAGTGATTCGAAATTACAACAGCATTTTAACACAGATCTTATCCACATTATAATTTTTTTCTCGTGAGAATTTCCCCAAAAAACAACTTAAAAAAATATATCTCTAGGAAATAAAAATCCGGCTTCCGGACAAAAAAACACCCCCATTAGCTAGAAGCAACAAAAAAAAAAAAGGCAAGAGGAGTTAATTAAGATCCTCAGAGATGCTATCAAGGTGAGGCCGCCACGTGGATACTGACTTCGATCTGCTATGTCGCCGGCGATGACGATGTTCTTTACCACTCGACGTAGCCAACACTACTTCTTCTAAGTACTTCTCACACAACTTAGCACATTCATCATCTTCTTTAACGTCTCCTGCGTCAGCGCTAGGGTTTTGTACGAGAGTCTTTCTCGGACGATTATGACCGTCTTTTCTCCTCCTTTTCTTCTCCGGCAAGGAAGAGTCAGGGATGAGAAAATAGATACTTCCTCGCTTGAGCTCGGAGTCAGGGGACAAGATCAAGATTTTGCGGACAACTCCTTGAGAGCATGGTTTGCTTAAGACATGGTTTGGGTTTGCTTGGAGGATCTCTCCTGCGGTTATGGACCGTGTGATCTCTTCAACGTAGCCGTTTAGATGAACGATCCTGATCAAATCTAGTGCTCCACATGGAAGAACACAAGCTATACAAAACCTTAAGCTGTTTCCCATCTCTCTTTCTCTCTTCTGCTTTTTTACTCTTTCTTTTGATAATGAGATTGTTAGTGAAGAACAAGTTGGAGAAGACGAGGTTATATAGGAGCCAACACTTCACGTAACAACAAAGCGGACTTGACCATATGTGTAAATGACTAAATTGTCCTTTTATCTTCTCGTTATTAACCTAACCCACCCCTATATAATCATGTATATTATCTAAGTTATCTTCATAATTCAAGTTTACTCCAAAATTACTGGATTCATATCTTATTATCCGTGAAAAATATACTTATTCTGTTTTATAAAGTTGTATTATTGTACAGTCTTTCGCACATACCAAAAAAGTTTTACATTATATTCTTTATTAATACATTAACAGTTTTTTTCTATATTAAAGTAATCTTAGTGTATAAGACACAAAACAATATGGTTAAAACTAGATTTTGCTCAAAAGTTCAGAATTAATTATTATATAGATTTTGTACCACTAGTGTGTATGCATGTGATTTTTGTTTTACTATCTGCAGTTCAGTAGTACTAGATCTCTGAGCTGAAAATCTGGTAGAGATTCATACACTGGTAATCTTAATAATCTATCAACTGTTAGAAAAAGAGATAGATCGGGTGAAGATATTTTGACGCTATGTGACAAATTTTGAAGGAACTTTTTTGCTTTTTCTTATATTCTTTATCGAATAATACCAAATCTTGAAACAAGGAGCGTGTTGGGATTAGATAGATAACTCGTAATTTATAATATGAAACAATGACCAAAGACTTGGAAACTGAAAAAGTATTATCTATTTAAATCAAAAGCGCACTGTACACTATACTTTATGTTTGATAGTTATTAACTTCTTATGATCCACACTACACTCTATTGGCCAATTCAATAATTTTTCAAATCGTTTGTTTAGTTCTGTATCTGATCTCTATCAGCACGATGTGTGCATCTTATTCTGTCTCATCTACTGGTTCTATAGTGACATTCGAATCTCTTCTATGGCCACAACTTTAGTATTTCCTACTGCTGTGTGTAGTCCCATTTCCATCAATCGTTGAATGTCATATTATTTTAACATTCAATCATATTCATAGGTTTCACGAGCTGAACATTAAACAAGATACAAAAAAAAAACAGCTGTCTTGAAGGACAAAACGATGCTATGCGACACTGTTATGAATTCACACGTTGTTCGTTAAGACAATCTCTAATCGTATCTGTACCTCTATATGCTAGTATAATAAAGGAACACATACTTCACCCATCTCTATTTATTTTTCGAAAAGAGAGATTCATATTTTCTCCTATAATTAGATGCAAAATAGCATTCTTCTATTATAAAGTAATTTTTTCTTCAAAATCCTCTAACTTTAACCTTTTATACTTATAACTAAAACAAAAAAAATTATAGAGAAATAAATTTCAAAATCCTACTTTTTATTTACATAATAATCTTTAAAAAATTAGTTTAATCAGAGTCATAATTTTATGAAAAAAAATGCAAAAATTAAATGAAAATAAGATTAATTTCAACCTTCTTAGATAAGAAAATACTAGTTATCAAAAAAATGATTATATTCTTTTTAGAGACAAAATAGATGAATACATTAAAAACACACATTTATATTTAAGAGTTCTATATTATAGAAGAAAAGATAGGGGCATATATTAAAGATGGTCTTATATATATATATATATAGGTATTTCCGTTTACATTATTAGTATTCAAATGATTTAAACCATAGTAGCACCCTCAAATTAATGTAAGAACCATTTTAAGTATGCTTATTTATAATAACTGTTAATCAAATTATTGTGTTGGCTTTTAAGACTTTCTGCTAATGACTGCTCTCACACTAATTAAAGTCAAACCGTACGTACGTTAATATTGCACTTAACTAAGATATCTGCAACTTGCGGGGCTTAGACCAACCGCATCAGTGGTTTTTGACACGGAAACATATAAAAAAAATATTTTTTAATTTCTTTTTCAACGTACTCGGTTCGTCAGGAAGAGGCGCACGAATTTATGACTATTCCGCGGGTCCCATGCCACATGGCGGCCCGCGATTGGTTAGATTATTAATTTTTTTTTTTTTTTTGAAGTAAAAAAAAAAAAAAGATTAAAAAGACTTACCTTGGAATCCGCACCCATGCGGATCGCTGATGCGGTTGGTCTTAAGTACTATATAGAGTACAACTGAAGACACGTTGGTGTCGGAGATTAATGAGTAATTAAGCATACTTGATTAAGTAAGAGAGGGGACAAGTAAACCGCAGGACCACATCAATATATACTTAAAATACTTTTAGTTTTGAATAGGAAAATGATAAACTTGCACAAATCAGATAAAATTGTTTCTTTTACCTATATAAAAGTGAACTTTGCCATTCTTTCTACCGTAGATCTTCCAAGTTTTCCAGAAAATGTGATTTTTATAAGTTTTCTTTCCAATCTCAGGCCGTCTCTATTTGATTATTACAGGCAATGCAATGCTTTTATATCAACGCCAAAATTCTCTTTTGCCCATGCTAGTCAAAAAGGAACAATAATTGAAATCATGTTTCTAAAAACTGAAAGAAGTTTGGAGAAAAAAAAACTACAACTCGATGTAAATACTGATCTTTATTTACCAATGTTATGGCAGATTTTTATTTTATTTTTTCATTTGTAATAATAAGTCATTTTATCAAATTTACCTAAACCTAGGCGATGAGTTGGTCACGTTTCGTCTTGCAACTGCAGCTTCAGAAGAGGAATGGGCACATATCTCGATCAAGAAAGTACTAAGAGCATGTATTAAACAAACAAAAAAAATCTGGTTGCAGAAAATAAATCATGAAAACGAATCAACGACATAGAAGATGAAGCTTCGTCGTACGGAGGTCTCGGACACCGACGACGTACGATTGGCAAGAGAATTAATTCCTTAATTAATTAATCTAATCAGAGAGTGGCGAACGTAATGTACACACGGATGCGATTTTGTGTGTGTGTGTGTGTGCGCCACAATGTGTTATACAGACTGAATCTTTAAATGGGATCATAATTAGAGAACGTGAGCCAAACCTGTCTTGTTCCATAATTTCACAACTTCCACGGTGGATCATTAACCGCTTAATCAAGTTTTCATTTAAAATTATGTTTTAATAGTAAGAGCATTTGTCCAATTTTGTCTTGTTTTCTCAATTATCCGCCTACATTATTACGTACGCTGGTAGAAGTCGGCAAATTATTCTTATAACAATCGTAGCCACATTATCATGTATTCATTTGTAAGCTGTGACTGGTTCCACCTTTTTCATGGGAACTCGACTTGAAACAAGAAGCTGTAAAATAATACTCTCATTTTGAAGTAGAAACTAGAATGTATAGAGCGTTGGAAAATTTTCTTTCTATTTTGGCTAATTTGGCCACCTCTTTGAGTTTAAGCTGATTGTGAGTTGTACATACTATAAGGTTAATCTAGTTTAGTTTGCTTATCTCTAGGCGCGGCTCTATTATTCATGAAGCCAATAAAGAAAGAAGAAGAATCCAAAGATACGCAAATGTAATTATTTAGAGAGCAATTATATTATGTATAGCTGGCTTTTTCTGGTCAAAATAATCAAATCAATCAGTCTTCTTTCCAGCTTTGTTTACATTGTGGTAAATAACTCTATTCTATTGGTTTTAAGTTTCCATCAAACATATTCTTCAACTAACTGAGTATATTGGTTTTAATTTTCAATCGAAACATATTCTTCAACCAATTAGAATATCATTAGTTAGTTGGAAAGTATGAAACATTGCATGAATATATATATGGTATGACTAAACATCTTCACAAACATATTTTCTTTTTTTTTAGTACATAAGAAACGGAAGACAATATTAATTACGTATTCTCCTAAAGCCGAGGAAGATTTGATTTTCAGCCACTCTTTTTTCTGTGTTGTTGTAACCAATGGAAACCATTTTTATATACTAATAATGGGACGAAGTGGTGTTTAAGGGGGGAAGTACCTGATCGAGTAAAGAAAAACATTGCACTAGTTTGAAGTTTTAGTATATAGATTTTGGAGATATCTCCAGCCTATAACACACGTTTGGTTAGATTTACCCTCGTGTGCAATATCTTTTTGTTGTTGTTCTGGACGTAAATGATTTTCGTAATCTAGGTTGATCTCCCGGTGCACGTACTTTCAAACTCTTTTTCGTGTTAGAATTTCGGAAGATCCATTTTTATAAAAGATTCTACACATACCAAAATACAATTTAAAAAAATCGTTTGTCAAAAACAACAACCACCACATATGTATATGATTTTCTTGCATGATCTCGTCTTTTAAAGGTCTTGCAATGTTGCATGATCCCATATTAGTTTCTTTGTACCTATATTTTAACGTTTTAGAAGATATGTGCATGCGTGTTTCAAAGAAAGAAGAAGAATCCAAAGATACGCAAATGTAATTATTTGGAGAGCAATTATATCACGAGTAGTATAGCTGGCTTTTTTGGGTCAAAATCATCAAATCAATCAGTCTTCGTTCTAGCTTTGTTTACATAGTGGTAAATGACTCGATTCTATTTGTTTTAATTTTCAATCGAGACATATTCTTCAACCAACTAGTATATCATTAGTTAGTTGGAAAGTATGAAACATTGCATGAATATATATGGTATGAGCAGTCCTGGGTATGAGAAAACATATCCGCAAACAAATTTTCTTTAACGTAAGAGAAGGAAGACAATATTAATTACATATTCTCCTAGAGTCTGAGGAAGATTTGATTTTAGCCACTCTTTTTTCTTTGTTGTTGTAACAATGGAACCCATTTTTATATACTAATATATGGGACGAAGTGGTGTTTAAGGAGGGACGTACTTGATCGAGTAAAGATAAACCATTGCACAAGTTTGAAGTTTTAGTACAGATATTGCAGATATCTCCAGCCTATAACACACGTTTGGTTAGATTTACCCTCGTGTGCAATATCTTTTTGTTATTGTTTTGGACGTGAATGA